TTTTGCAACAATACTTAATTATAATGTAAACTTATTCTCCACACAGACTACTATTAATTATCAACCATATAAATTAAATAAAAAGCAGCTATTAATTTATTTAATAGATCATTTCTCTCTCCAACGGTTATTCACGGTGTACTAAATGTTTTTGTCCTACTGCATTTAGAGGGGAGGATTGATAGATTTATACAATTCTTGAAGCCATAAGTATACAATTAAATTTAAAAATTTTAGTATAAAAGAAAAAGTATATAAAAAAGGAATTTATTAAATCTCTGCAAGTGTTGTTATACTGGGTAATACGTGCTTATTCTCACTGCATTTAAAGGGGTAGATTAGGAAATTTTTAAAAATTCATTATATATAAAAAGATTAATTTAAATGTATATAAAAGGAGTAAATTACTTAAAAAAAAGATTTCACATTTAAAAATGACTCATCTCAAAGTCTGAGTTTAATCCATTAGGGATAAGTGTGTTCAATCTGCATATCCACTCCATTTCTGTTCTGCTTAAATTTTAAGTTGAAAACACCTCCTCTCCAGTCTTTAGTTATTCTATTTATTCCTTAAAAAATAGTCCCCTTTAATTCCCTTTTATGGCATTGTTTATAGTGTAAAGAGACACTATGTTTCTCGAAACCTTTACTAATATTAAGGTCATGTTCTTCTATTCTTGAAGGGCTCTTGTGGATCTAGCAATATAGCTTAGACCGCACTGACACTGTATAAGATAGATTACATTTTTAGAGTAACAAGTTATGAATTCTTTAATTGGGTATTCTATCCCTTCATTCGATTTAAAATTCTTTAGTTGCCATTTTTTACTTTCCGTTCTTTTCAAAGCTAAACATTGACCGCAACCAAAAAAATCCCTTTTCTATATTAAAAAAAGGTAGTGCTGGAATTGGGTTTTTCTTTTATAAAACTGGAGGTCAGGGAAATACGTAGGTTACTTACTCCCGTATGAATGAAACAAGGTTTTTTTCTGGGAGGACAGTTTTAAGTGTGGGATCTTGTAAGAGAATAAGCCAATATTTAGAGACCGTTTTTCTAACTTTATAGTTATCCGAACTATAAGTGCATATGAAAGGCATTTCACTTATGAAATTTGAAGGCAAACCAGAAAACAATATAAGGCTTTTTCGCTCTAATTTTTTGTCGCGATTTTTCGAGTCTATCTTCTTCATAGCCTTTTTCCATGAAGTCTTGTTTAATTTTTGTGGACTGTGTTTCAAATGTTTCTAGGTCTGTGCAGTTTCTTTTAATTCTTAAATATTGTCCTCTTGGAGCATTCTCTAGCCATAGTGAAAAACCTTTCCCTACCTATAAAAATATTGGCTTCCCCGGTTTTAAAAAGGATGTGTTTTAATAAAATTATTTTCAATATATATGCAAGTCAAAAAAAAATAAAATAAATTACGACAGTTGCATGTCAGCTGAATTCCCCATGTATTGGAGTTCAAGTACTTTAGGAAGGTGGATAGATCTTTTCCTTCCCATATGAAGAATGTCATCTATGTATCGACCATAGGTGACCAAGCTCCCCACCCAGCCATATATAACCCGCTGTTGTGTACTTTAGGTAACACCTACCCCATGTGTCCATTGTAGGCGATAACCTGAATAAATGAAGATAAAAGCGGGAAAGATAGGGTGGAGCCTAGCAGCCAAGCTGAGCGGTTGTGCCAAGTTTCAGCTCCTGCCCAAATAGGGGGTAAACCCCCCCAAAAACGGCACAAACGCACACCAGAGTGGAGCTATTAAGACGGGGACACCCGGGTGAACCCTCAGATACCGAAACCAAGCGTGTGACCCACCAGGACAATACAAACCTGAGGCTTACCGGAGATCGAGCTGTGCAGAGATGGCTGCTGTCCAAGCTGAATGACCTGAGTATGGATCCCTCAGGGCTCCCAACTCCTCCCCTCCTCCCCTATGGACCGATGGGGGTCATCTCGGTCCACGGCAGGCAGTGGGAGAGGCAGAAACAGACTGAACCTGCAGCCTGCGGAAGCGCAACGGGGCAGCCAAGTACATGGCGCGCCCAAAATGGCAGCGGCAAGCCTACCAAGCAAGCAACATTACATACATGAGCTGGAGGACTTCGGCAACGTACAGCAGCGCCTAAACGTAACCTTTGCCCGATTCTGGATCAAGCTCAGACAAAACCGCAAACCCTACTATAAAAGGGCGAGCGGAGCCATAAGCGCAGGGAGAAGAGAGAGTCACCCTTGAAGTACATGGGGGCAAAATGGCAGCATGTGAGACAATACGTGCCACCCAACACCAGGCACCCCAAGCACCACCTAGCCTCACAAAAGACCCACACATACAAGCGCCCCAAGCAGAACCCCCGGGCTCCCCGCCTGCGCACAAGCATCAGATGCCCAAATGCACAAAACAGAGCTCTCAATCTGGGGGCCTGGAAAAGACTTAACTCAGCACTGCACTCACATAAGAGCAGACAGCCGACAACACAGGCCAATCTACGTCAGCACCCACCCCAGAAAAACAAAGGACTTAACCCTCAATAAAACCACAACCCACAGAATGGCGGCACACATAAGCAGCAACCAGGGGCTGGAATAGAGTAAAGATCTGGCGAGACGCCACAGCCCCACACCTGGACATTTTTGCCCATATACCACGCAAGACATACACAGGGCAAAGAGAACTCACATATCACCGGGTCGCTTGACCCTCCACTCAGGGGGCAGCGGCTGAAGGAGCCTACGACACCACATGAGCCTTCCCCCAGCCATGTCTATTTTGTTGAACTGCCTGATTTATATTTTTCTTTGGTTTGCTTCTCTCTATGTTTTGCATGCAACTAGACCAACGAACAGCTAGGTCCATATAGGACTGTACCTAGACACAAACCATAGCTAACTATACTCTAGAATCTATCCTCACCGCTCCTGCTGTAGCAATACATCACTACCTATATTGATTCATCACATTAACACAGTGGTTGTTGCACCCCATGTATCACATGCAGTTGTATTACATAGCATCATACCTCTTCCAGCTACACGTGATGATAAAATTTGGAAGCGTCAGTTAAGAGTTATACTTTTTTCAATAGCACAGTCAGTTGATAAGCCTCACAACCACGCTAGCTTGCGCATTGACTCAAAACACTACTGTTAATCGTCTCTTATTAAAAAAAAATGTGCACAGTTATTCATGCCATGCATATGTAATTTTTTGTCTTCCAAAACTCTGGCAACAGCTGTTGTGGCATTGCTAGCCTGTTATATGTAACATCTTTGCACGAAAAAATAAAGAATTTAAAAAAAAAATAAAAAGCGGGAGAGACAGTGTAGAAATCCTCAGCAAAACAGAGAATAATAAAATATAGGTTGCTTCTCACCTTGTCAAGAGCCTATGACATGGCTCTGAGTATGCAGATTAATGGGTTTTATTCAGGGTGGCACTACCCTTTTCAGCAGCATAGATGATCCACCAGATTATATAGTAAAGTATAATTAACATTTATTTTTTAACCAAAACAAAAATATTTAAATACAGACAAAATAATGCTGGTGGTGAAGTCCAAAACACGTTTCGACGATTCTGCTCAGCTTTCTCAACTGGTAATGTTCACCTTCTGATTCAAGTTTAAATAACCCCAGTGGCAACAGAATGGGTTTATCTTATAATTAGTCAAGCTCAAAGTAATGTACCCATTCTGTTACCTCTTTGCCAGTACGACTAGGGTTACCTTATTGCATCTACCTATGTATATACTGTATATCTCCCCTCAGATACTGTTTCCACTTCATCAGTATCACTACCTGGCTATTTTGTAATTAGTACACTTTGTACACATTAGCTCCAGTAGTTGGTCCTATTTTTTATACTTACTATCACTTTTTTTTTTTTCCCATTATTATTATTTTTTCACTTTTTTTTGTGTGTCTGGGATATTTAGATGTGTTTATCCAATATTGGACAATAACGTTTATTTTCATGCTTATGTAAATTAGGCACTATATGCCAATTACCTTTGCTTAGTAATTTCCATTAGGGTAATAGGACTGGAACCAGGTGTGCCTCCTTGCAGACCTGTTTTCAAGCCCTATTATCTCCTTTCTGTGGGTTAGGCCCTGTATTAACACACAACCACTACAAATTTGGTGGGAGTTTTTCTCTCTCCAGTTTTGTATATTGTTATATAGAGATTCAGTGCATTCATAAAGTATTCAGACTCTTTTTATGTTGCAGCCTTATACTATAATAGTTTTGTTTTTTTTCCACATCAATCTGCACTCAGGAGCCCACAATGACAATTTCTATGAAAACTAAAAAAAAAAAAAAACACAATAAAACACCCTTCAAATATCACATTGATATAAGCATTCATACCCTTTGCAATGAAGCTTGAAATTTTGTTTAGATCCATCCTATTTCTCTACATCAGCTTTGAAATGTTTCTATACTTTGACCTGTAGCAAATATAATTCATTGGATAGGATCTGTAAATACACCTGCCATGATCTCAAAGGAAGTATAGAGCATGGTGACCTCCATAATTCTTAAATTGAATAAGTCTAACAACCAGGACTCTTCCTGATAATCACTCTGGTTGAACTGCAGAGAGTATATGTGGAGATGGGAGAAATTTGCATAAACACAATCACTGAAACACTCTACCTCTCTGGCCTATATGACGCATTGCCTTTCCTCACTGTAATGCACATGTAGGCCTTCTTGAAATTTTTCTGAACTAGAACCTATCCATTTTCTCATAGAACAAGTACGCGTAATACACTTCATGCCTGAAATTAACCTTCAGGCTGGTTTCTCCATGTTGCTTATTTTTTTAAGGCATGATACATTGAAATGCAATACCCGGGTTCAGGTGGTGGCATTATTGGGCGAGAGCAGTCAGCAGCTTCCTATATATCCTGTACTGCTCTTATACCCACTGTTCACATCCAAGGGAAGGGAGAAAGGAAAGAAGAAAAAAAAAACGTAAAATAAGTAATCCAAATTACAAATTAAAAAATATTTTATTTTTTGAAATAGTTATACAAGGCGAAAAGAAAAAAGTTGTTCAAAGTACAATATATTATATATCTGCAATAAAATAGGCAATCTGCAGAATTTACACTGTATGTGCAAATCATCAAGCAGGAATGCTTCAAAACACTGGCAAGATAAAAATCAATCAGCAAAATCCACAACCTGCCTAAATGATGTTAGTAAATTCATCTTCAAATTGGTTTTAGATGCGGGGTGCATGGTTATAAAGTGTGGTAATTTCAGGAAAATTAGGTCCATTCAAAATAAATGGAAGAGAACATATCCAGTATGGATTACAATTTGGATAGAGGGCATCTCTATAGTAACAATTTTCCAACAATCACCATATAATTATCAAAGCAGTTGATAGAGGGAAAATACTTATATAACATGAGTAGAATATAAATTATTACACAAGGAAATAAAACAATGATCACCCCCACCATACCTTCAATCGATTCAACAGTTTTTGCATATTTCATATTCAGCACAAGAGTGACAACCAAACATGGTATTGTGGGAAATGTTATCTATTTCAATACTGGGCAAACCGTGACACTTTAAGAAGTGACCCATCAGTTTAATTATTGTAACAAATTCTGGAATTGACTGAAGGACAACACTCATCAATAGGAATATTCAGCAGATGCAAGGCCAATCATCAGAAATGGTTTATCCAACCTAATGTTAAGAGACATCATGTAGCAGTGTTAAGAAAGCAAAGAGCTTTGCTAATCAAATCATCTCAAGTAAAGTGGTGGGTTTGCTACTAGGAAGGTATAAATCATAAGAGGACCAATTTACCGTTGATCTTTTGTTGAACCAACATTACATATTAGTTTAGTACTGCTAACAAGTGTGCTAATTATTACTCACTACACACACAATGAAATATGTGGCAAACATTTCAGTATTGCGCATTGAAGACATACTTGCCACTCCTTCAAGTAGTGTTTATCCAGATCCAGAATGCTAATGCATCACTTAACACATCTGTACTAAATAATACACAATTTGTTTAATAAATGAAAAAAAAAATAAAGGAAAAAAAAAAAAAACTTCAAAATTCAATTTGACACACTTCTATAAACCATCAGATTATTTTCAGAATAAAAGGCAAAGCCTTAACTCCAAAAAATGTTTTCTGACAAATACTTGCAAAAAAAGTAACATTTTCTTAAGGAAAAACACTGTGGAAAGTATTGTTCATGAAGATGTGTGACTCTTGACTCAGTCAGCAATAATCTGTTGTACTACGTTATGTATTTGAGAAAATATTTATATTCTGAAAATAATGGATTACCTGGAGAAAATAAAAATAAATTTTTGGGACAAAATTTTGATCATAGGAAACATGAAGAATAAAGATGCCAAAGCCTAAGAAGTCCACGTCAAGGCTACGGCAGAAATATATTATTTTAATGGGGTCTGACCCACCGGCATATGATGTCAATATAAGGGAAGGACATACAAGAGTCTAATTCAGCAAATATTAAATAGAAACTATCTAGTTGTAATTTTGCTGTAATCACATTTCAACTCAGTCTAACAAACATTTTTGTGACGTAACATATAATAGCCAAACAGCAGCCCAAATTCAAATGAAAACATTTCTCAGACTTATAGGACTGACACATATGGCCTGAAGGTACAGAAGCATGAAATTGTCCTGCTGTATCAAGTAGTGCAATGCTGGTTACCTTCAAAACAAAAATCAAAAGATCAGCGTGCACATTGCGTCCATTAAAACTGATGCACAATAGATTGATGCACTTAAGAATACAAATCACAGGCACTCTATTATTCAGGCTATCAGTTATTATACTCCTGTTTAAGAGTAAAAATGCCAGTTTTCACCAGTAGTTATATTTTTCCATTTGTTCTGGACTGTTGGCGTTCAAATTTCACAGAAATAATAAGGAAGACTATGAGTGTTACTGCTTGGATAGCAGCTAGCAAGAAGAAATAAAAGTTCAAATGGCAGTCATTAATGTTGCCTAGGAAGAAAAACAGAAGATACATAAACGTTAAAATATGATAAATTCTACTTTACATCCAGAAATAAATTTTGTTTGCAACTATACTAAAGTAGGCTATAATGGCACATTATAATGACATTGTTATTTGGAATGTGTAACATGTCAACAATATAAAGATGACAAAGAATACAAAGTGTCACTATACTGTATTTCCGTTACTGGTGCACTTTAAGAAATACCATGGAAGGTGTAGTTTTAAAACATTTGGGTATCTACCTTTTCGGCAGTCCTTGCCTAGATGGCTTGCACTTGGCAAAAAAAAAATCCTTACGGCTCCAGAATGAATTAAATATTGAAAATGTAGACAGAATGTATACTGCACAGTTAGAGTGGCTATTTCTAACTACAACCTCAGGCATACAATTCTAACATTATTTTAAATATACAGATTTACTGTATGTTCAGTATTGTGGAGCATAGGCTAAAGACTCACCTAGATCTAAGTGACTGCTCATCCATCCAATTGCTGGTGTGGACACCAAGGCAAGAAGTCCAGAACCCACAAAAGAGCCAACACCAGAGAAGAAAAAGAAAAGGCCCATAATAGCACTTTGCATGGTTTTAGGAGCAGATGAATAGGCAAATTCCAATCCTATTAAGATACAAGAATGATAAAAATAGAATATATAGTTGCAAATAATATCTGGGTATATGGCTGAGCTACATTAGTGGCTTTAACTCCTTAAGGGCTATGGAAGAATTAAAAAAAACAACAACAAAAAAACCACACCATTCTTTCAAGGAACACAATTCAAAACACAAGAACTACTACAGCGTTTTTTTACTATTACAATGCTCTGAGTCTTCAGGTGCAGTTCATTCATTAGTTATCAAACTTTAAACATATCCTCTGAGTGTGCTGGAGACAACATAATATATGTTCAGATACTAACTAAATGCCTAAAAATATTTAGTATGAGAAGCTGCAAGCATTGGAGTAGGGGAGTATATGGCCACACAAGTTGTTGGTAACCCATCAAGAGCCAAGGTCAAAGGCATTGAAAGTGTGAATTGGCCTCATTTTTAATGTATTGAGGAGATATGGCACAGTCAAATCCCCCTGCATCACAATGCTTACAGTTTGTCATTACAAATACCGGTATTTTAGAAGAATGAGGATGTGAATATAATTGTTGTGAAGCCTCAAGAATAGCGAATGCATTTAGGGTGCAGGGGACACTGATAAAAACCAGGACTACATCAATTTAGCCTATATTACCATTATGACCACAAGGAAAATCTAGTGTCCCTGTTACAGAAATCTAAAATCACTGGTTCAGGTCATTCTCTAACATCCAGTTTAGTCAGAAAGCGACAAACTTTGCACCATATTTTTTTTTCTCTTCATGAATGGTCAAATTACACATGTGTACCCTATCACTGACAACGACAAATATTTGGGAAAACTACATGACCATCCATGGGAGGTCCTTCTTTTCTCACAAGCATTGAACCTAAAGTGCTTCTACAGTTGGCTATGGAGTATAGGAATGGAGTGACATAGCTAGTGTGCCGGTATCACCGAGGAGGAATGCCTTGCTTGTGGAAACGTCCCCAAGCAGGGCAAATTATTGAAGACAGCGCATGGCTCGGAGTTGGGATGTAAAAGAAGATAGCAGCTGTGGAATGGAGGAGAAGTGAGTAAATCTATATATTACACAATGAATAGATGTATCTTGTAAAATAAGATAATGTAAGATAAGTTTGAGAACAGATTCACTATAACTATGTGTTCCACATTAATTATCAGTGGATAAAAATGTACCTGCTATGCTTGCAAATATTTCACTGACTCCAATAAGAAGATATTGGGGTAGCTGCCACCAAATGGCCAAATCTGCGGCAAAATAGGTCACATTCCCAATCCTCTGTGGAATTGGTTCTTTTTGTTTCACAATTGTCAATCGTTTACTTTCCAGAATACCTAAAAAAAACAAAAACAAAAAAAAACACATTAAAAGTTAAAAAATTATGCTTTCAGACAAGTTTAAAAGCAACATTTCAAGCACCATAACTACTGGAGTGTGTTGTAGTTACGATGTCAGGAGTGCACCTGGCACCTTCCCCAATGGAAGTAGTTAAATAATTTGCCAATGTTTTGAGTTCTCACCTGGAGCCTGGCAGTGTAATGCTTCAATGATTGGCCAAGAGCAAACTGCTGATGCTGTCATCCAAAGAGCTGGTCCTGTATGGTAGTGTTTAGCTCAGGAGAGCTCTTTCAGCTCTTCATGGAGACCAAGACTGGCACCCAGTGTATTTTGGTTAAGTTGTCAAACCCTTTGCAACTTACACTATGGGTGCACAAAGGCACTCCTGGCACCATAACCATTAGTCTACTGTAGTGGGTATGGTGCTTGCCACGCTCCTCTAACCTTTTATAACACGCATTGATACATGCATGATAACAAAACATTTCATTCATTGTACACACTGCAATTTCACAACACAGTTTCATGACTGAAGATATTGGGGAATGTAAAATAAATAAGAATAATGAAACTCTGCAAAATTACAACTTTTGGACAAACTATGGTTTGATGCAAATTTCAACATACAAGGATGTGTATGAAAAATTAGAGCTGGATAAATCAGATGGAGAAAAAAAAAAAAATTAAAAGCAAATGAACTCTGAATGTTTACCTGCAGCTAGCACAGAACACATTACAAAAAACATTCCAACTGCAATCCTCTTTAGGGATGATGGCAAAAGGCCTTTCTTTTTCAGCACTGGATCCACTAACTTATCTTTTAATGGAATCAGGATCAATATAAGCACAGCATCAAACATGGTGAGCCACGCTGCTGGGAACTGTAATTTGTACAAAAATAGTGACATAAGAAGTAAAGTCAGTCAGTTATGAAATAAAATACAGAATAAAGCCATGACATCAGTTTAAATTATTAGGGTATTTTTTTTCCTTCTTTTGCATTCACCTGATAAGCTTTACTATGAATTTACTAATTCATGCAGGAAGTAGCTAGTACAAATTTCCATCAGATTACCTATGAGGCAACTTCTGCATAATTGCCCCGCCCACAAGAAAAATATATAATAATATAAGAAGAAAAAAGAAAAACTCAACAACTCAATAAGCTTATGGAAACTGCTGTCATAAATAATCTCAGAATACATTCATAAAAATATATAAATTTTTTTTAACCATTTTGTCTCTTGCATCTTGCTGTTTTTTAACTGAAAAGATCACATAGTGCATTTATGCTGAAATGCTTTGTTGACTGTGGTCAGAACAGAAAAACCCTCTTTCATTAATTACCCAAAGAAGTAGTCATTTCTGAATGATACATTCCAGTTAAGAAAGGAAGTGAGAATTGTATACTGTATTAAGAATTTCCTTGCTCAGCCAATCTTTGGGGAATAACTTTATTTTTCATATCTACACTCGATACCCCATAATGACAAAACAAAAACCAAGATTTTTGCCACACCTACAAATGTCAATGTGATAGTTCACTTTTTTGTTTAATATAATTATACAGAACCTTAACTCCGTACTTATTTGATGCACCTTCGGCAGCAATTACCGCCTACAGACTTTTTGGGTGTGATGCAGAACACCTTTCGCACCTGGATTTGGGTAGTTTGTGGCATACATCTGTGCAAATGCTGTGAGGCTTGGATGGGCACTGTTGGTGGACAGCCATTTCCAGGTCTCAAGAACAGGTTGGACCAGCTCGTTCCAGACCACATTTTAATTAAGGATATCTCTGTATTTTGCTGCACTCAGCTTTTCCTGGCCCCCCTTCATCATGTTGTGCTCCCCCTTTGCCCCCCCCCCCCAAATGCCAGCAACTTGCTGCCCATGTTCTTACATTCTATTCCCTCGGGCTGTAACAGCGTGTTACAGGCCGGGGAAGGGAATGCAGGGCAGAGGAGTTCAGCTGGAACGGTGCTGGAGGCTGTCTGTGGCTGGAGGGAGCACTGACAGGCTCCCCGGCACAGGCCCCATCCCAAACGAAGCCCCGCCTCCGTCGTTAAGCAGCAGACCACGCTGCTGCTGATAAGGCAAGAAGATGGCTGTCTGACCCCCAGCAACAAGTAGGCTTGATATGCTCAGGTGTGAGGAAGCGTGTGTGTGTGTGTGTGTGTCTCTGTCTATGGATTCGGCAGTCGGCGTGTCTATGGACTCGGCAGTCGGCGTGTCTATGGACTCGGCAGTCGGCGTGTCTATGGACTCGGCAGTCGGCGTGGTCAGCAGTCGGTGTGTCTCTGTGTGTAAGGACTCAGCAGTGTGTGTGTGTGTATGGACTGTATCAAGGGAAATGTGTTTGTTTTTTAATAATCCTTGGTGGAAAATAATGAATTATTCACCAGAGATTATAAAAAAAAAAATTTAAAAAATTGTGTCGGGGGCAGGTCTTAACATGCGGCAGGAGCGGGGTTAAATGTGCCCCCCTACTTTAGTCCCTGGCCCACCAGGTGCCCCGCCTAAAAATGAATCCTATAGACGCCACTGAATGTAAGGAGGCAACTATGCTCTTCAGAAACTTCAGAGCAGTAGATATTTTTTTTGTAGCCTTTCCCAGATCTGTGCATAAACATAATCCTGTCTGAAGGTGGTTCCCTTGAGCTCCTGGCTTGGTTTATGCTCTGTTATGCTTTTACAAATGTGAGCCTTTCCGAATAATGTCCAATTAATTAAATTTGCCACATATGGACTCCAATCAAAGTGTAGAAAGATAATCCAGATCCAAATTGGTTGGATTTGCTAAATTTAAAGTGTTTTAGTGAAGGGTCTAAATACTTGTGTCAATGTGATATTTCAGATGTATTCATTTAATTTTTAAAGGGACACTAGGCACCCAGAACACTTCAGCTAATCAAAGTAGTCTGGGTGCTGTGATCCTGTTGCACTTAGTGCTGCAATGTAAAACAATGCAGTTCCAGAGAACTGCACACTGCCAGACAGCCACTAGAGGGCTTCTGGAATCCAAAAAGGACTTTTGGTCAGTTAACTGACACTGGACGTCCTCATGGACCTCCAGCATCTGATTTTCCCCATAGAAGCCTAAACCAGGTGGGGGGGGAGGAGCATGAGCGGAGCCTAAACCAGCGCTGGATTCAGGTAAGTGGCTGAGGGGGGCACTCCAGCAGCCTGTAGTGTCAGTAAAACGGGTTTTTTTTCCTTGCACTATAGGATCCCTTTAATTTAAAAAATAAATAAAATAAAAAAATCCAGTTTTTACTTTGTCATTATGAGGTAGAGAGAGTAGCATGATGTGGGAAAAATGAAAGGAAAGGAAAAGAAAAGGTGAAGACAATGAAGGGGTCTGAAGAAATACAGTGCTTTCAGCAAGTATTCAGAGGTCTAAAAACGTAGTTTAAATATTATGCACATTTTTTGGCACATAATGCAAATTTCTTAACTCCAATTCTATTAAAGAGGAACACTTACTCCTCTGAAACGAACAGCTCATAAATTCTTCATCCCAGCAAACAGTTTACAAATTTCTGTGTAAGAATGGGGGATTAAACAAAATGTATCCACATATGCTGGCTGTGCCAAAAGAGGCCGGCACACGATGTAAACTAATATGAAATATTGAAAGCACAATCAAATGTGCCAAATTTAGAGAGAGCAAAGCCCAATTAACAAGAGATCTTGTGCTAGGCCTGCCGTACATTTCTAATGCGCATCCTTACGACTTCACATTATGTCCTGTGTTGGGACAGACACTATAAATACTGTCTACATTAAAAAAAATTGCAGAGGAAAACTACTTAACGCATAATCAATGCTCAGAGCAACCAGATGGCTAAAGTGCTTAAAGTCAAAATTAAATTCTAAATGTCTCTCTGCCTTTTTTTTACTGTAATGTACACAGAATGTATGCAGTATGAACATTCCACATGTTAAGTATGGCTGATACAGACACAAAAGAAAATCCCTTTTAAAATAAACACAAAATTCAAATTGGCTGGGTTTTTTTTTTTTTTAACTAATTAGTGTTTAAACAGGGTTTTTTGTAGAAGTCAAAAAGTGATGTAGAACATAGAAAGAGGAAGAATTAGAAGGGCTGTAGCAAAAATAAAATCAATAAAATCAATAAAACCACAAATTTGTCTAGCAAATAAACAAATGTAAAGGAAGAAAAAAAAAAAAAGATGACTTGTTAGATATAAATAAAACCTTGTATTCGTAAAAATGTATTCTACATTTAAAATTATGAATTGGTGAATTGTTTGAGATAAACATAAAACATATACCTGCATCATCTTTTCAAAAGAAAGTCTTGAAAAATAGACACAATACTTACAGTATGGTCTTTACTATTAAAGAACTGTGGTATTTTCAGGTGAAGACTCTGAAGAACATAAGTAGTCTGCATCTACATAGAATAAAAAATAAAAAAATATTTTAAAATCATGCAATTAGTATGCTCCCATCAATAGAAAAACAAACAAGCAGAAATGAATAAAATGAATTCAAACTGAAAAAAAAAAATGTTCACACATCAGATATGATCCATGGGACTGCTGCTTAAGGCTGAACCACGTATCCTCCTAGACATCTGGACACAATACAGAATGAAAGGCTCTTAACTGGTTAAACCTTCCTGGTCTGGAAAAAAATAATGGTGATAACCTCCAGCCTTGAATGCCCATTTTTGGCACGTGCATACACCAATCAAAACAAAACAAAAAAAAAATCTGAGTAAATGTAATAATACAGACCTGAAAATATACAGTCCAGTAAGGAATCAATGCCAAGAAGACTGGAATTATCTTTACAAGGGCTTTTACATCTTCTACTTTATCTTCCCTAAAGGGCCCTCCATGTGATGACTTTGACAGGTCCAGAATACTTTTATTCTTCGGCTGTTGATATGAACCATTGCTCTGGCTATTGAGTATAAGATATGACATGAGAAATATTCAGTCAACATGTTTAGGCTCGCTTTTTTCATATAAAAAAACAAAAAAAAAAAAACACATGCATGACAGCAAACTTCATTGAAGGAATTTGTTGAATTGCCAAACTGCTACAGCTCGCTGTAGTGGTTACGGTGTCTGGAATGCCCTAGAACACCTCCTCCCATGTAAGGAGTCAAACCATTTGAGAACAGTTTCAGTTCATAGGTTGGGTCCACCAGGAGACACTCCACAAAACTTGTGATAACTGAGAACCAGAAGTCCCTAAACAATGCTTACCTCAAGCAGCTTCTAGCTCTCCATCAACAGAATCAGCAGCCACCACTGAACCCTAAGTAAGAAGTCAAACTGTTCCACAATGGCTTAACTACTTACAGTGGGGAAAATAGGGGGAAGGAGTGCCAGCACTTCAGTGTGCTGTTGTGTTTATGGTGCTTGAAATGTGCCATTAATGAAATCTAAATATATAGCAGTACCATTTTTACTTACGAGTTATTATACCTATACAAGGGACTCAAACACTTAAAATAAAGTGGCCAGGAATCTCTTATAATCACAAGTTTAGAGTTACATTTAAGTCATCAAAAGTCTTTCCTACTTTTCAAACTGCCAACTTGCAACAGCAAATATTTTTTTGCAGAATTCTTTATATCATAGATCAGTGTGGATAAAAAAACAAAAAAAAACACACCACTTTTTTAGATCACAGGACTACCCCTTAAAATAGAGAAAAATAAATCACAAACAAAAACAAACAACCTTTTATGCAGGTTTGCCGGTGCTGCCTGTGATCGGCATTTATCTCAGCCAATCTAATTTCAATCTGATCAATAATTTCAATAAAAATGCATTGGGAGGTTAAAGTGCACGCATGATGCTCAGAGCTGGCGCTACCTTGTATGTAACTGTATGCCTTTATGTCTTTGTATGCATGGGTCTGTATGACGGTATGCCTCTGTATGTGGGTATGTGTGTATGTCTGTGTGTCTTTGACTGTATGTGTCTGTATGATTATTTCTGTGTTTGTGTGACAGTGTACCTGTAAGAGTTTGACGTGGCTGTGACATGGGAGGAAAGACGCACAAAGGGATCTGGAGGGGAGGGAAAAACAAAACAGACTGAGGGTAAAAAGAGCCACACAGAGGGACATTAAAATGCCTGCAATTTTTAAAGATCATAACAACTAGCAAGAATAAGTCTCTACAGCTTAATTTTACACAGAGTGACTGAATAGTAATTTAAAAAATAATCAACTCTAATCCACCCTGCCATAGATGAAATGGAAATGCATCTGCTTCAGCATTTATTTAAAAAGGCTCTGTGTATAAGATGTAGAACAAGTAGACATGTAGAAGAGAAAATGGACATAAATGCTGCTTTGATAATCTAAATGCTTACAAAAACAGAGTGTTCAATTAAATTGATTTGCTGAAAATGCATAAGAGTGGGAGGTGATCTTGTCACACTATCTGTGTGGGGAGGAGAGCTCCAGTTAATTTTGTTGAAAGGAAAGTGAGGAAGTAAGAAAGAATGGGGAAGAGGAGAAGGGGGAGGAAGGGATGCGGACAGGGCCGGACTGGCCCACCGGGATACCGGGAAATTTCCCGGTGGGCCACGGAACCTGGGGGCCGGCCGCGTTCCTGGGCCGGCCCTTTAAATACTGCAGCCGCCCGAGCGCTCTGTTAAGAGCGCTCGGGCGGCTGCAGCTTCTCCCCGAGGACCCCGTCCAGCGTGCCCGGCCGAGTGATAGGAGCAGACTTCCCGTCGTCCGTTGTTACAGAAACAGAAACTCCTGTCCGCGTGGAGTTTGTTTCAACTGCCGATCGATGCGGAAGTGCACACTCCAGTGTGCACCATCCCGTCACCCGGGCAATCATGGACCGAGTGCAGCCTCGGCCACGCTTACAGGGAGGGGGGTGAAGAGGCGGGAGTGGGGGGGGGCAAGAAAGAGGGAGGAGGGGGGTGGGAGAAAAGAGGAGGAGGGGGTAAGAAGAGAGGGAGGGGGGGATAAAGAGGGGGAATAAGAAGAGGGGAGGAGGGGAATGTGGGCAGAGGGGAGGGAGGGGAAATGCTGAAGAGGGAGGAGGGGGGAATAAGAAGAGGGAGGGGAATAAGAAGAGGGGAGGGAGGGGAATAAGAAGAGGGGAGGGGGGGAATAAGATAGGGGGGGAATAAAAAGAGGGGGGGAATAAGAAGAGGGGAGGGAGGGGAATAAGAAGAAGGGGCAGCTCTGTAGGACAGGGGCCAAGACAGGGAGCTCTTTCACACTACGCGCGCACACACACACACAATGCATCCCTATACATACACAGAAACACAACATGCTTCCCTTACACACAGAGAAACACACAATGCAACCCTTACACACAAAGACAATGCATCCTTTGCACACATACACAGAAACAGACAATGCAAACCCGTACACACGCATGCAAACACACACACTTTTCTTACATACACACAGAAACACAATGCATCTCATGCACACACATACAGACACACACCTTGCATCCCTTATGCATACAAACACAGATTCACACAATGCATCCCTTACACACAAACAGAAACACATAATACATCCCTTATACACAAATACACACTGCTTCCACTCCACACAAACACACTGCATCACCTGCACAAACTGGTAACCCTAAACACTACATACCATAAGCACACATATTAGATCCTCTACAATAACATATAACACATCCCCTACACACTCCACTCCCTGTGAGCGAACTCATGGGTGGGTGGAACTTATGAGTGGCCCTTTGGGCATACTCACCGTCAGGCCCTGGGACCCAGACCTTGAGCTGTGTAAGGGGCCCCCAAAAAATTGAGCTGCTTCCAATTCTCCCAGAACACTGAATTTTGTGACCACAGTTGCAAACAGCCTCCAGAGATCCTGTTCTACTCCAGACCAGTGGAGCCAAACTGCAGCCCATCATCATCCTCATCTGCTTGTAAGTAGGCAATCTAGTATATTGTTAGTGACACTAATCTATCATTTACCTCACATTAAAGGGACACTATAGCTTAATGAAGTGGTTCTGGTGTCTATAGCTGGTCCCTGCAGGCTTTTTAATGTAAACACACACTGTGTGCAGCACTGGCGTTAGTTCATATGGCAGATCATATGGGTGGGGTATTGTGATGTGACATGTGGGGGCAGCAAATTTTTATTTTGTCTAGGGCGGCAAAAATCCTTGCACCGGCTCTGATCCTGGGCAGGTGCACCAGTCTACTTGACTGGTTTTGCCCCCCTGGCCGCTGGGGAGGTCTTTTGGCGGCCGCTGGCGGACTTGTCCTGGCGGCCGCTGAGGGAGCTGCGCGAGCTGCGCTGGCTCTGCTCCCCAGCACGCAGCTGAATGAGACCGGCGCCGGAATATGACGCCATATTCCGGCGCCAGTCTCATTCAGCAGCGCGCGAGGGCGGGAGGGCACTAACACAGGAAGCACCTCTAGTGACCGTCTGAGTGACTGTCACTAGCAGTGTCACTTTAAATCAATGTAAACACTGCCTTTTGTCTGAAAAGTCAGTGTTTACGTTGAAAAGCCTGTAGGGACATGCTATGACACCAGTACCACCACATTAAGCTGTGTGTGCGTCTGCTAGTGAGTGAGCTTGCTTGCATGCGTGTGCCTGCTAGTGAGTGAGCTTGTGTTTTTATGTCAATGAGCTGATGTATATCAGTAAGATTGTTTGTCTATGAGGCTGTGTATCAATGAGTTTGTGTGTGTCACTGAAATGTCAGTGAAATTGCCTGTGTCTGCATGTGCGTATGCTTACTGTATAATTAAACGTTTTACCCTGAAAGGACCAATATTTTATATTAGAAAAAGATATATATATATATATATATATATATATAAAAATAACTCAATCATCTGTCCTGGCAAGACATAGCCTTACATATTACACACGACAATATATGGCGCAGTGACTTATGGGGCTGGCACAAATTTTTTTTCCAGGGCTGCTTTGTATCCCCAGTCCGGCCCTGGATGCGGATGAAAACTCTTTGTACTTGCTCTGAGCCTTGGCACCATGACCACATGCCAACAGTAACCAGAAGGTCAAATAAAAAGTCAAACCATTTGCACCCATTCATGTGGGCGCTCATAAATGTATGTGATCCAAGGAGATCAGATAGCTACATTCTTATCCAACTTCTGAGTCATAGAAGCAAACAATTGTCTGGGAGAGTATTTTCCTTGATTCGTTATCCACATCAGGCTCACACTACAGACACCGAAAGGAGTGGGACAAGCTGCTGTTAGTGTTCAACTAGGGGTTTTTTTGTACTTGCCTAGAGTGCTATTTCTTTTTTTGTTTCAAAAAGGTACTTGTCTCCTGCTTATGGTCTTAAGATGGACACAATGGCTCTCCAATAGTGGGCAATTAAAGGACATGACCAGCAAACGTGCAGCATGGATCCTAGTGAGATGAAACATCTCCAGCAAAGGATCAACTCATCTGGTTTTAGGACTACACACATGTCAATCATCCTATGCTGAGAAATGACTGACAGGAGAGAGGATGAGCCAAATCTTTTATGGCATTTTCTATAAATGAATTTATTTGCTGGCACAGATGATTGATGTTTATTTTTCCTAAAGTAGTGTGTACCAGAACAGGTACAAGGTTGAATATGGAATAAGAAAATATGTCGAAACAAAATGTCAAAACCATTTTTAAAGGAACAAAGATAGAAATTAGGACAGCATATATTTTGTTTAGGGATAAATACACCCATCTTAAAAATGCTGTCATACAACTGTTTGTAATTCCGTACGCAGTCTTCTAGTTTATTATGCACTACTTACTAGAAAGAAGCTATATATTACCACAAGCAATCACCAGTCCCTACAGAAATCTTAAGGGCATCATGGTTTCCAGATTTTGTTAAAATTCGCCTGCTGCCAGTTGACACCAGTAACATATCAAATGTGGTATGAGGATGTCGGCTGCATCTTCATCCAAGTGCACGGTAACTGGTTGTCTGTATATTAAATCGAACATCCCTTATAAACTAATTACTCCACATATATGCAGAATATTTAAAGAGTTAAAGGGATAAGCTAAACACCAAAGCAACATTAGATTAACAAAGCAGTTTTGGTGTATAGATTGTGCCCATATATCTGCCATTTAGGAGTTAAATCACTTTGTTTATGCAGCCCTAGACACTCTCTGTATGTGACTTACACAGCCTACCTAAACACTTCATGTAAAGAACCATCTCATGTTTACACTTCCTTTATTGCAAAACCTGTTTAATTTTGGAATTCTTCTCGTGTACGTAATTAAAGTTTAATTTACAGAGCAGGAGATAAAAACTTTTAAATCAACTTACATCTGATTAAAAATGAAATTGTTTTCATTGTGTCAGTTACAGTCTGGGGAGGTGGGACTATTGTTGTATAAAGAGAGTGCTGTAACTCTATACACAAAACCTGCCTTATTAAGCTAAAAGTTGTTTTTGTGACTAGTGTCCCTTTAATAAAGCCGTTGTAGAGTACAGATCATGTCCCTGCAGTCACACTGCTCGATCCTCTGACATTTAGAACTTACATTCAACAGAATTTGCAAAAAAAAGGAAATGTTTAGAACAACTATGTAAGTCATATGCAAGGAGTTGTACCTAGAGCTACAAATACACAGTGGAAGAGAAATCAGCATAGACTGCAGAGGCATGATCTATACACCAAGACCACTTCATTAAGCTTTAGTTGTTTTGGTGCCTTTTGTGTCCCTTTAATTAGTATTAACATGTCCTCATTATATGCTTGTGGCAATTACATGGAGAGTGAAAATTGTTGCACGGTGCAGATTGCAATAGATTAAATTATTCACCAACTGTAAGCCAAAATAGACAAGCTGGAAAAAAAAACGCAAAAAAAATGCAATTCCTTGTAATTATCCACAATATCACAATGGTCTACTTAAACACTGAATAGGAACTAAAAAGCAAACAAGTATGTGATTGTCACAATTTGGCTGTTTTTTTACCCAGCTATTCACACAAAAGGAACATGTTTAACCAAATTTGCCAATTTATTTGGTTGGTTGTTGAAATCAACCAAACTAACATGGGTGATGTGACTACTGTTTGTTTCAATCCCCTGACAAAGACTAGGGAAAATGCATCTAAAAAAAATCCAAGTACCTCTAAAGAAATAAATACCCCCTTAACGACAAATGACATGTGTGACATGTCATGATTCCCTTTTATTCCAGATGTTTGGTCCTTAAGGAGTTAATCTTATAAGGATTACATTAGCAATTTGTGTCAGGAAAATTCAGATACAATCTACAATTCAGTTGAGCCATTTAGAAATGGATTTCACTAGAGCAATGAGTTCAATCTGAAAATAAAGATCAATTTACCTGAATTTGGTAAGCATTCAGTTGTTTGTGAATACAGTGTACCATACCATAGTAAGATTTTAACAACAGGATGCAGGCGAATTCAGTTTTAAATCAGCCAAATTAATGAACAGAGCCTACAGAAAAAAAAAAAGGAGTAGTGATACATACATGCTTGTTTGGTTGCTTGTAGACCGCTTCCTGGAACAGCAGGAATACGCAAGAATTTTGAACATGTCCGTGAAGGCACTGCCATCAGCAGGCTTAGTAACAAAGAATGATTGTGCACACAAAAACACCAAAAATGAAACACCAATGCAAGTTGCAGGAATGATGTATCCTATAAGGAATCCAACATTTTGCTGAACATAGGCAATTCCACCAAGTGAGATAATTGCTCCCAAGTTAATGCTCCAATAGAACCAGTTGAAAAATCTACGCGTTGCCTCTGGTCCACGATCTTTTACCTTAAAGTAAAAAATAAAATGTAATTGTTAAAGAAGCAAAAGAAAACAAAAATAAACAAACAAAAAGTAAAATTATACACACATTGAATCTATACTACTTAAGAGCAATAAAAAAAAAATAAAAAAAAAAAAAAAAAATTAATAATAATAATAATAATAATAATAATAATACACATTTTCCACAAAATCAAAAAAGAGAAAGAAAGCAACACACAAAGAAGTAAGGTCTTCTTAAGCGAGTTCATGATCTATAGGAAATGTATAGAAGAAACAGAAGGAGAAAAGAGTAGGGGACATAAGTACATGGCAGATTTCTTGATCGGAGGCTAGGAGGAAGTCTGATAGGGTATCAGGTGTGAGAAAAGGGTAGATCCCCAGATGTTTTAAAAACTACAGCTTCGATTAGGTTTTGGCATTCTAAAAGCATGCGAAACATCAAGGGAGTTGTAGTTTACCTTTTGGGCACCCTGGGGTAGAAGTTTATATATGATACACACAAAATGTGTGTACAATACAAACACAAGCAAAGGTAAGAGGTGGTGTAAATAAGAATATATGCACTTATGATAAGAAATTATATATTGTATGAGGCGGGATTGTTAATAGACTGGCATAGGTGTAAGAGGAGGGAGGAATGGTGGTTCATGTTTTGGAAAATTCGGAAAAGTATTCAAAAGTCTCTTGAACAACAGTGTTTCAGAACAGACAAATGACAACATCGTCTTGTGACTGAAATTCATCCTTCATGAGACTTAAGTCAGCATCATGTGCTATGCCTTTACTGAAATAAAAATACTTAGTCGTGGCAGTGCTGAACACAACTATATATTAAAAATTAAATCCCTGTTGTGAAGTTTTCCTTCTCACAATTAAAGTAACAAATATAAAAAAAATATGGTGCGTCCCCAGTGCTGAATTTAAAATGTACAGATTTAGCAGTTTATATGGAAAAAAAACACACAAAAAAAAAAAAAAAAATACAACGACCGGCTCCTAGACTAGAGACACATTCACATAACAACCAATATTAAAAAGTAACAATTTGTATTAATGGTCAATGCAGCCTTACAGACATCCTACAAGCAACCGTGAGTTATGGTGTATGTGTAAAAAAAACTACCATCTGTCAACCCCAAAGATGTGTAAACTTCCAATATATGAATATAGGGCATGAAAAGTTTCCCTTGAAAGTAGGTGCCAGGGTCAAAATTAAGAACTCTGACAAAATTCTCCATTAACCTTTTGATTTCCAGAAATGTACCAATGTCATTAACTTCTAGAGATGTAATGAATTTAATAGAAGTCAAAGAGAGGTTACACACACACACACACCTAAAACAATTCTACAGTACACAATCCTAATTAGACACAGAAGCATGACACTTACACATACGTAAATACGCTCGCACTTAAAATTGTTTAAATTCTTCCGCATGCTGCACACCTGTGTCAGCAGTGAGGGAAGAAAGAGAATAAAAAAAAAAAAAAAAAAAGTTGCTACATTGTTTCCTAGTGTTAGTAGAGTATGAGGCTGTATCAGAGTGCTACAGCTTCTGAGGTCCTCTTGCTCTTCCATGCAACAGACTCGCAGGGTAAGAAGTTATAGCATGCAATATTTTCATAGCACTGTTAGTCAAGAGGGCACATAAAAGAGCAAAAGAAACTCAAGCAGTTTCTGCAATTATGGCACCTAGGAACCTCCTGTTCCCCTTATAGACAACAGTAGGCAGTCTATAAGCGTTACTCCCTCGATTGTCAGAAAGGCAAATACTTATTGCCTTGTCCCATCTCTGTGGAGCCAAGGTGCCCTTATAGTGTTTAGTGGGTTAAAGGGGGAAGTGACAGAGCTTGTACTCAAACTGCGTACTTCGCCAGGTCAGCTTCCTAGCTGCCATCAGTGACTCTGGAGCACTTCAGACCCAGTTGCTGAAGCTTGACTGTGGTCTTTGAGGACCACTTCCACAGGACCAGGCTACAGTTATTATAGCTCAGGAGACCTACTCTCTTAAGCAGAAACTTTAGTTTTGCTACAGCCTTTCCAACACACACGAAACGAGTCTGAACGTAGTGGGTAGAATGATCTTTTATTGCACAGAACACAGCAATGTTGACTCTTCCTGCGTGCGGGTGGTGGTGGTGGTTATCCACACAATGCAGTGTGCAGTGCAAATGTACCTCCCCAGAGTGCCCTCTGGGGACCTAATTACATTATTCCTAGCTAAAACAATTTGATTCCCTGCTGTGCCCTTACAGTCCTAGAAACACAGCACACAAAATTTCCATCAGAAACACTTTTTCCTGGACCATACTCCTACATCCTGGAAAGCTTGTTTTGAACTGCAATTGTGTTACAACATGTTAACGTTTTACTGGGTTGCAGCTATTCTCCAATCCAGTAGGCGGTTCAAGGAGTGCGTTGACTTCAGTCTTTAAAAAGGGTTTCACGGACCTCTCGGAAGTGGAGTATTCTCAAGCCCCAGGTATCCTTCCCTGACATACCATGCAAATAGCGCTCTATTTGGAGGACAGCGGACAGAGCGATACGCACTTAAAGATTGATTGGACTTTGGCACAGTTACAACAAGAGGAACAGTTCCAGAGTATCTCCCGGTCAGCCACTTGATGTGTAAAAACCGAGTCTTATGTCCTCAAGTCCAGCTAGGAAGTTTGTAAGCGTCTGTGGCCCAAAGTCCATAGGTAAGAGGTTGGCCTTCAAGCCTCTCTAAAAGTCAGTGGTATGTCAGCTTCCATCACAGAGGAACTGTTATTTCCAATGATTTGTAGTAGTATGTTTTTTTTCGGGCACCCATATTTAACAAAAAAGGTATTTGTCAAGTTTGAAAAATAAAAGTTTCATAGTAGAAATCTAAACATTTATCCTAAAACAGAATGCCTTCTTCATAAATCCGGTCATTGTTATAAACCCTTACCTTCATGGTCACTGAACATAGTATGTACGGGTGGAGAAACAGGGACAAGGTTCTCCTAAAATGTGCCATGGCTATGCCTGAAGTGAACTGGTTTGTGATTTAAAGGGACACTCCAGATTGTTTTCCTGGCACTGCAGGTCCCTTCTCCCTCCCACCCCAAGTTGTTGAAGGGGTTAAAACTCCTTCAGTGACCCTCGGCGCTGGTTCAGGGTCCGCCCATGCTCCTCCCCCGCCGACGTCATCCAGCGGGGGGGGGAGACCTATTGCGCATGCGCGGCAATGCCGCACACGCGCATTAGACCTCCCCATAGGAAGGCATTGAAAGATGCTTTCCTATGGGGATTTCAGCGACGCTGGAGGTCCTCACATAGCGTGAGGACGTCTAGCGACGCTATAGCACAGAAAATCTGTGCTATAAACCAGGAAGTGCCCTCTAATGGCTGTCTAGGAGACAGCCACTTTAGGAGGAGTTAACCCTGCAAGGTAATTATTGCAGTTTACAAAAACTGCAATATTTACAGTTACAGGGTTAAGGGTAGTGGGAGTTGGCACCCAGACCACTCCAATGGGCAGAAGTGGTCTGGGTGCCTGGAGTGTCCCTTTAAATTTGCCAAACTTTTTAATATACATTTAAGAAAGAGCATGAAAAAAAGGTTCTAGGTGATTTTCATGGTTTCATTCAATGCTGAAATTTCCAGGCAAATGACAGTTCTCATTTAAGGGGAGGACATTGTTGCACAGGAATGCTTTAGGTGTTTGTTCTAACAGATAAAAATACAATGTAAATATTACATGTTATTCTTACCAGACTAACTCCCTAACAATTCTGAGGTTAACCTTACATGAAGATAAAAAACAAAAAAACAAAAAACAAACCACCTGTTCAAAGAGATAAAACAGATTATTATAATTTAATTTAAGGACTTTTCAGGCACATGCAGTTACGTTATTAGTAAAGTTGTTGCACTATGGCTACACACACTCTGAGCTATGGATATGTAGAGTGATTCTGCACCATTCTATTATATACAGAATGTCTTGAGTTAACCTTGTGCAGCACAAGGATATTTAATGTGATGTACTCACCCTTCTAGAGAGGATTCTCTGGTATTCCCCATATGGTGAGTAACACGCATCAGTGGTATTAAAAGGTTGTGAGTTTGCGCATTATAAAAGGAAAAATGCTATGATATATACAGTTTCTTTACATAGAAGTCTACTTTCAAGTGACAGATATGGAAATTGTGTATAATTGCAGCTGGGTAAATGTTGGCAAAACAATACAATATTTAGGAGGGAAAGTCCCCATTTTGGGGACAAGTTCCTCTGTCCCTTTTTTTCTATCCTGCTTCACAGGATAAAATAAATCCAGTAATGTGTATTTAAAGAGACACTGTGCACAAGAACAATTTTAGCCTAATGACGTGGATTTGGTGTATATATCATGTCCCTTCAATATCACTGCTCAATTCACAGCCATTTAGGAGTTAAATCACTTTGTTTACGCAACTCTTTACATACTCCCTTAATGAGCCTAGGTTTTCTTTAGCTTCTCTTTCTGCAGATTGTGTTTAATAATTTGAACTTGATTAAATTCTATTAGGGATCGACCGAAATTGATTTTTTAGAGCCTATACCGATAATCTGTTAACTTTCAGGCCGATAGCTTGCCGATATTCTGTGCATTTAACATTTTGAAAAAATAAACAATTTCTGCTAAACCACACACACAGACATTTTTTGTGACTGTCCAATCAGACTTCCCAATGCAGCTTTTAAGAAGTCTTTGAAAAGTAGGTGACATTGCTGCCTCTTGTGTTTAGCTCCACTGAGCTAATCAAACAAGGAAGTAACAGTACATGTCTGCTTAAAAGCCCAGGGTGTGTATCCAGATTAGTTTTTTTTTAAAAAGTGACAGATTTTATTGAAATCTGCACTTTTTGCAAAAAATAAAGACTTCACAGATAAAGCTTTTCAGCAAGCTAAAGTGCTTTAGGGTCTGGAGTGTCACTTAAGATAAGTGTTAAAAGGGGTTATAACTCTCAACACTCAGGAAAGCGAGGAACACTATACTGTTTTGTATTCATAACTCTAATATTCCTTTAAGTGGTGCAGCCAGTGTCCAGACGGTTGCAAAAATCTATATGAATAATTATCACTGGTTTAGTAAGGATTTATAGGAGACTACAAACGTTTACCTTGTAATCACTGCAAAAGTTGCAACTCTTACAATTTACATTATAAAACAGACTTCATTATAGTCAGCCTCATCCTGGCATGTATCTTTAATTATAATTGTGTATAAATACACACATACACTAGATGTATTCAGTAGAAGAAAAGGAAGTGAAACCTTCCCCCATCACTTTAGAGACTGTTATATTTCTCTACTTAATTATATTGTTTTGACTCTCTCATTGCTGATGTTTTTAAAATCACATTCTGATAACTATCTTCTAGGCAAAACAAATGCAACATAGTAGATTCTTTGGTAAACAAAAAAAATAAAAAATAATTGGTCTTAAAGGGACATTCCAGATATGAAGAGGTACCATTACTTAAAGTGAGGAAAAAAAAAAAAAGTATTTAATCCCCCTGCTGATTTTAAACGTTTGCCCACTGAGAAAGAAATGACCAGTCTATAATTTTAATGGTAGGTGTATTTTAATAGTGAGACAGAACAACAACAAATTTTTTTGTTGCATGTCAAGGAGTGAAATAATTATTTGACCCCTTCGACTTAGTACTTGGTGGCAAAACCCTTGCTGGCAAAGAGGTCAGATGTTTCTTATAGTTAGCCACCAGGTTTGCACACACCTCAGGGGGGTGGGGGGTGGGGGGGAATTTTGTCCCACTCCTCTTTGCAGATCTTCTCAAAGTCATTAATGTTTCGAGGCGGACGTTTCGCAACGCGAACCTTCAGCTTTCTCCACAGATTTTCTATGGGATTAAGGTCTGGAGACTGGCTAGGCCACACCAGGACCTTAATGTGCTTCTTCTTGATCCACTTCTTTGTTGCCTTGGCTGTGTTTTGGGTCACTTTTATGCAGTAACACCCATCCACGACCCATTTTCAATTCCCTGGCTGAGGGAAGGAGGTTCTCACCCAAGATTTGTCGGTACATGGCCCCCATCCATCTTCCCTTTGATGCGGTGCAGTTGTTCTGTCCCCTAAGCAGAAAACACCCATAATGTTTCCACCTCTATGTTTAAGAGAGTGCTCCTAATCTCAGCTCGTTACCTGTATTAAAAGACACCTGGGAGCCAGAAATCGTGCTGATTGATAGGGGATCAAATATTTATTTCACTCATTGACATGCGTTTTTCTGGATTGTTTTGCTAATTTGTCTCTCTCACTGTTAAAATACACCTACCATTAAAATTATAGACTGATCATTTCTTTGTCAGTGGGCAAATGTTCAAAATCAGCAGGAGATCAAATACTTTTTTTCCCTCACTGTACCTAGTTTCCAGCTGTGAGATCTGCTCCACCTCCACGCATGTCTGCTCACTCTTCCACAATCTTATCCAATGCAATGTTTCTCATAGAGAAGCACTGTGGAAGAGATACATACACATGGAAAAACAGGGCACTCATTCAATCAAATGCTGCAATGAGCAGAATTTGATTAAAAGAGCACTATAGGGTCAGGAACACAAACATTTTCGTTAGGGATAGACTGATTATCGGTTTTACCGATATTATCGGCCGATATTTGGTATTTTCGGCAATATCGGTAATCGGCCAATAGAGATACCGATATTGCCAATAACACATACCAGGACCGCTGGGCCCATTACAAGCCCGGCGGTCCAGTGGGGGGCCAGCAGCAAGCGCTGACTTCCCTTGCCAGCAGCTCCCTGTGTAAATCTTGCGAGACCCGCGGCCGCAAAGCGTGCCACGGGTTACCATGGCAATGCTCCGCGGGGCACTAAGAGCCGCAAGATTTACACAGAGGAGCTGGAGGAGAGGCTGGCAAGGTTAGTCAGCGCTTGCTGCTGGCCCCCCACCGGACCACCAGGGAATACTATATCCTCCCTCCCTGGTAAGAAGCAGGGAAGGGGGAACTAAACAAACAAACAAAAATTTCTTTTAAATATTTTTAAAAAATAAATAAAATTAAAAAAATGCCCCCCCATTTTACACAAATTACATAACTACACAAACACACACTACATTCACTATACACACACACACTACACAAACAAAAGCACTCTGCATTCATTATATATACACACACACACTACACAAACACACACACTCTGCATCCACTACACAAACACACACTACACAAACACACACAGCTCCCCTGTCTAAACACACATCATCCACTACATGTGGCATGTATATTTTGCGCATTTACCTTTCAAATTAGTTTATTTTTTCAAAATGGTAAATGTACAGAATATCGGCAAGTTATCGGCTATCGGCCTGAAAGTTCACAGATTATCGGCTCTAAAAAAATTCATATCGGTCGATACCTAATATTTCTGACCCTATAGGGTTAAAACCGCCATCTGGTCCCCTTAAATATAGTAAAAAAAATAAAATAAAAAAAAAAACACACTTGTATTCAAGTCTGCAGCTGCTACCTCTGTCCCTGTCTGCTGACAGCAGAAGTGGTGGTCTGAGACAATCACAATGCTTCCCCATAGGATTGGCCAAGACTGAAGGAGGCAGATCAATGACAGGGCCAGCACAAGACAAATACGGCCCTGGCCAATCAGCATCTGGAAAATTCAGTGTCTGCATGCAGAGGGGGGAGACACTGAATGGTAGTGCTGCACATTAGTCAGGACTGCTTAAGGAAGCACCTCTAACAGCCATCTAAGGAGTGGCCATTTGAGTTCTCACTAGGCTGTAATATAAACACTGCATTTTCTCTGAAAAGACAGTGTTTGCAGCAAAAAAGCCTGAAGGGAATGATTCTAATCAGCAGAACAAATGCAATAAGTTGCTCTGGTGACTATAGTGTCCCTTTCAACAGGCAAAATCTAGCGCTGTATTCAGGGCCGGACTGGCTCACCGGGAAATTTCCTGGTGGGCAGTCGGCACCTGGGGTCAGGCAGACACCTGGGTCTGCTGGCAGCTGCTGGGGGAGCTGCGCTGTCTCTGCTCCCCAGCGTGATGATGGGGGGGGGGGTGGTGTGTGTGTGTGTGTGTGTGTGTGTGTGTGTGTTTAAAAATAGTGTTTTTGCTCACCTTTTTTTTCCCCCACGCATCGTGCTAGTCTCCCCTCGAGTGGCCCTGCCTCTATGGCTGAGATCTTCAAGCTTGAGGATCTCAGCCAATCCAATGCTTTGCCATAGGATTGGCTGCAAAACGCTACACCAATCAGCATCTCCTCATAGAGATGCACCGAATCAATGTATCTCTATGGGGAACGTTCAGCACCTACAGAGTGTGGAGGCCCTGAATGTAGGAGCACTGACACAGGAAGCACCTCTAGTGACTGTCACTAGCGGTGTCACTTTGAAGCAATGTAAACACTGCCTTTTCTCTGAAAAGCCTGTAGGGACATGCTATAGACACCAGTACCACTACATTAAGCTGTGTGTGCGCGCGTCTGCTAGTGAGTGAGCTTGCATGTGTGTGCCTGCTAGTGAGTGAGCTTGTGTTTTTATGTCAGTAAGCTGATGTATATCAGTGAGATTTTTATCTATGAGGCTGTGTATCAATGAGCTTGTGTGTGTCATTGAGATGTCAGTGAGATTGTCTGTGTCTGCATGTGAGTATGCTTACTGTATAATTAAAAAGTTTTACTCTGAAAGGACATATACATACACACACACACACACACACATATACATATTACTCAATCATCTGTCATGGCAAGACATAGCCTTACATATTACACGCGACAATATATGGCGCAGTGACTTATGGGGCTGGCATAAAAAAAATGTCAGGGCTGCTTTGTATCCCCAGTCCGGCCCAGGCTGTATTTAACCTTAATTTAGACATTGCTGTCTACAAAAGCAGTTAAGTATTACTTTGAAGGATTAAAACAATAGGACCACTGCAACCAGAATACTTTAATGAAATGAAGTGATTTGGTGTATTTAGTGTTTCTTTAGAGTGGTATTCAATTAGTTATTAGAAATTGTCTAAGCAACAAGGACTTTTCTTTGTTTAATCTCTTGTTTGGAGTGAGAGAATACTCAAAATTACCACACTGCACTATTGTCTAACTCCCAGAATGTAAGTACTAAAGTACTATGGTTGTCCTGACACTTTTAAAGCCAGATTGCAGTCTAAAAAACAAAAACAGGCAATTGCAGTAATAGAAAGTGGGCATTCATAATATTTAACTAATAAAAAAAAAATCTCCATACAGTCTATGACAGTGAAGACTAACAACTGCACTTCAGTCACCCTGATGTTCATCGTGTAATACACACAATGCAGTTCTTAAAGGGTCAATTAAAGCAGCATAACCACTTTGGAGGGTTGAAATTACTTGAAGTTATTACCATCACTAGAAGATTAAGAAATGTCATGCAGTCAGGAACACTTTGTTTGTGTTGCCATCTGTTAATATTGAACAGAAAAAAAAAAACCAACCACCTACCGGTACTGCTGTACTGTTTGATTTTGCACTATATAATAAAGCCAATGCTTGCAAATATTTCCTTTTACCCGGATAGCTGAGTAATTCCTTGAAGAAGTGCAAGTTAAGCATAAAAACTTGTAACTTGAAGATTTACCAGATAGGGAACCTATATATGCTGCAACTTATTGTATTTTCTTTTTTTACTATTTTGAATGAATAAAATAATTTACTTTAAAAAGAAAGCAGCAATGGAATTATGAAAAAATGTGCTTTTAAAATGGACAGTTTAGTCACAAGAAGGCACCACAACAACTTCATCTAAATTAAGTTATGGTGCCGAGGCCCCGGGAGCACTTTTACCTTGAGGGGTTAAACCGTTTTTGAACGGTTTAACCCCGAAGTTACCTCCACCACCGATCTGAGCTCCCTCCCTGGCGTCTTTTGACTTCTATAGGGCCAGGGGCAGACTGACCACTCGGGCAGATTGATCATGGACCGAGGCAGTCAGGGGCCTGGCCGGCTGCACAGCCATGCTCTGGCTGGGGAGATCAGATTAGAGATCTCCCCAGCCAGAAAAAGCCATAATTCTATATATTACAGCGATAGGTTGCACCTGCAATAGTGATGTCCCGAACGGTTTGCAACGGTTCGCCACGAACTCCGGTCAGCAGACACATTCCAGCCAATCAGCCGCAGACCCTCCCACCTCCTGGACAGCATCCATTTTGAAGCTGCATTCTTAGTGAACTGTCCAGGAGGTGGGAGGGTCTGGGAGGGAGGGTCTGCTGCTGATTGGCTGGAATGTTTCTGCTGACTGGAGTCCACGGTGAACCGTTCGGGACATCACTAACCTGCAACCTTTCGCACACTTAGTATTCCCTCTCTACCTCCCCTCCACCCCCACCTTCTGAGTGAGAGCGGCAGTGATTCTGCTGCTCCTGTCTGGTCTCCTCCATGTCGTGGATGTGTGGAGCTCCGTGTGAGGGGAAGAGGCGGGGCCCAGGAGAGGGGAAGTTCCTTCACTTCTGTAGAATCTGCTGACACCTGACAGACAGCAGGTATGTAAACATTTTTGTAGGCTACTATACCCCCCTTTCACCCATACCAGCCACCTGTGCCCCTCATACCCATCCCAGTCCATATTCCCCTTCACCCACCACAGCCCCTTAATCCATCTGAGCCTATATGCCCCCATCATCCACCACACCACTCTGCAACACAGCCAGCCCTCTCCACTCACATACAACACTGCAAATAGCTACATCAACACACACAAGGAACCTCACTGTATGCACATAAACCCACAAGCAGCATCCCCACACATGCAATAATTGCAGCCTCTCTATACACACACACACACACACACACACACCCCCCACAAGAGGCATCCCCATCACTGCAATACTGCATACAGCCTCCTTATACGCACAAACAATTTCTTATATAGCACCAACATATTCTGCAGCGCAGTACAATAAGTAAATTAAGACGAACAATTAATTCAAACTTAACACGTTGACATACTGGAACACAACATCACAAGCAGCATCCCACACACGCATCCACACAAATAGATGTGTTTGGAGGCTACTTGTATGGTTGAACATGTATGGTTGAACATGTGGGGGACGCGGTTTGTGAGGTCACCAACAAACACAGAGGTAAATTTGCTTTATTTCATTGGGGATGTAAGGCATGCCAGTAAGGGTTACTCCATTCAAAGACAATGTTTTATTAAAACGCTGTTGTTGATTAGATTAACCCCTTAAAATAGATCTCGCCCTGTTTGAGGGGGCCCTACAGTTGAAGGAGTCATGACTCTGTGGCTCTCACACAACCATTCTGGATGCTAGGTAGCGCACACATAATATCTGTGTGAGAGCTAGACCTTACACCAGGAGGGGGGCCCTTGGTCTCCTATTGACCAAGGGCCCTGTGAGTTGTCAGTCCACCCCTGGTAAGGTGCACTGCTGATTGGTTGGGACCAGTCAGCTGACGCTCTCAGCCAATCTGTGACTCCCCATTCATAAAGCTGGCTTGAGAAAGGTATCTTTCATTCCAAGCCAGTTTGGTGAATGGGGTGTCACTGGCTGAGAGCATCAGATGACTGCTCTCAGCCAATCAGCAGCACAGCTGCCCTATGGCACTCCACACTTCCTGTAAATGATCTAACAGAAGCCATAAGCCACCTAGGCAACTTCAGGGTTAAACCATATGAAAACTGTTTAACACCTGAAGGCAAGAGTAAGCCAGGGCCCTCAGAGCTCCATAACAACTTAATATAGATGAAGTTATTTTAGTGCCTGGGGTGTTCCTTCAAGAGCAGAGACAAACTATAAGTGCTTGGTCCAGACAAGAGACAGCCCAGGTCAATAATCCAAAAACCAGGTTGTATATAAAGTAACTCAATCAGTGGCATGGTTGCCACCAGATCATAATGTTAGTTCCTAGCATCCTTTGTCTTGACTGGAAATGTGGGAGGGGGTAATTATCCTAAGTAAGTATTTATCCTATAACTCACTCATGGAAAGTTAAGAGATCAATTCTCATAAACCAGAATAAAAACAACGACCGGGTTTATTTTAATTGGAAAGGGACAAAGGGCACATAATGCTCCAAATATTTACGCAAAATAAACTTTTTTTTTTTAATGAGATGGATTTCCAAAATTGCTACTACATAATTTGGCTAATAAGTAAATATTGAATTTCAAATCTTTTCCCCCCACCCCCCCCCAAATTTAGTCTACAATTTGAAATTCAGTTTGAGTTTTATTCTAAAAATACAATTATTATTGGATTGAAAAACAAAAACTACAAAACTGAGGCCAAGACAATTGATTTGGACAAAACCTGCTACTCATTTACAGTTACAGCTTTCCTATTTTAGTCTGAATTCACACTTCAATTACCGATTATATAAAATAAGAGAATATAACAATTTGTGGGATTAATGAAATGTCCTATAAGAAGTCTCATGACGGTTTCACAAAACATTTCAGCTCATATTAAAACTGAAGTTACCAAGTTAATGCCTTGTGCATGACGTGGAACCTCATAACAAAAATCTTACTTCCACTACATCAGTACTTTTTTTTTTTTTTTACTACTTCTGACACAGATGAGTTTAACCACTAACAAAAGTGATACAAAAACCACCAAATAGATAGTTATACCTACACTACTAGTTTCTAAAAAAAAAAAAAAGGTACATTAAAATATCCAACAATGTATTCCTAAACACTAGTGTCCCTTGATGCTGGATGTACGCCCAGTGAGGTTTCACAGTTTGCAGGAAGTGCCTTTAGTGGCTGTCTTGGGACAGGGACACTATAGACACCCAGACCACATCAATGAGATGAAGTGGTCTGGGTGGGTGCCTATAGTGTCCTTTTAAAAGGAACACTTCATGCCCCATAAACCAATACAGAGTGTTCTAATAATTATGGTGTCTAGAGTGCCTTATCCCCTTACAATAAGTAGGAAGACTGTTTTGGAATAATTTTACCTCTTACCCAGAGTACGTTAGGCTCCGTTTCCCACCTCCACTTCTACCAATAGAGGTTGGTAGCCAGGATCAGCACAGCCAGACAGGCCCTGTTCTCTGTCGGTAGTAGTGGAGGCAGGGGGAGGCATCTCTTAAAATCCAGGTAATAAATAGTTAAAAATAAAACTGTGACTATTTACTATAGGGGGTTGCCAGGGCACTACTGTCATCATAACCACTATAGAATACCACCAATGGTTATAGAGCTCGGTGAGTGCCTTTATTTAAAATATTATTATACAAATGAAGTATTCTCAGAGCCATGTGTATACCTGGTCTGCTCCAAAGGGAGTGATGTTTGCCTTGACTGAGCCCACACCCAGCCCCACGATGACCAATCCTACAAAGAGCACCGGGGCACAGTACATGGTTCTCCTCTCCCTGCAGGGCATGGCCGTGCTGGCATTGGCAGGGGTGCTGCAGTTCGCGATGTCCTCCAGGTGGAAGTCTCCGCAGAAGCTGTCTCGGGTGGCCGGGTAGGTGATCATGGGGAAGGTGAGCATGCCGACCAGGTAGATAAGCATGCTGACCAAGATGGTACTGAACCTGCCAGCCAGGGCGTCTGCCAGCCAGCCCCCGAACGGAGACACCAGGTAGGAGATGCCCATGAAGAGCAGCAGGGCCTGGCTGGCCTGGGTGCCCTCCCAGTTGTACATGGGCCCATTGAGGAAGAGCACCAGGTTGGAGGTGATGCCGTAGAAAGCCACCCTCTCCAGCAGCTCGGACAGCAGCACGGCGAAGCATGCCAGGCGGCGGCCAGCAAAGGCCGAGCTCTCGGACCGAGCTCCCAGCAGTGGGGTCCGCTCGCTGCCCCGGGTTTCCATGGTAACGGGGGGGTTACACAGCCAGGGTCATACTGAGACAGGGAGGGCGGCGAGAAACTCCTCAATGAGGGCGGCAGGCAGGATACACTAATATGGGAGCAAGTCTCCCAGGAGAACCGAGTACGCCCGGTGTTCTCCAAAACAACTCGTGACTCCGGTGAAGTAGTCATCAAATCAGCTGATTGGTTAGTTTTGGCTGTTCCGCCCTCCCCCAGCTCCTCATTGGTTGCTGCCGCTGCTCGTCATTGGCGGTGGTATAGGGCTTCCTGAAAATGCACAGACAAGGCACACGTTGGTGGGCGGGACTAGTGACTCGCTGAGCATTGCTGTTTTCATTGCTGCCCTGCGGAGTGATAGGATTGTTTACTAAAGTAAGAATTTAACCCCTTCACGACCGGACTGTTTAGGACATTTTGTACGAAGGACCAGGGCTGTTTTAACACTTTTGTGGTGTTTGTGTTTAGCTGTAATTTTCCTCTCTCTCATTTACTGTTCCCATACAAGTTATATATTGGGGGTGTTTTTCAGGACAAGAAGGGCTTTCTTTACATACCATTATTTGTATCATGTCATATAATTTACTTTAAAAAAATAAAAATATGGTGAAAAATTAAAAAAATCTTTTTACTTGAAAAATCTTTTACTTATCTACAAAAGCTAATGGAAAAAAAAACTGCAAAATATATTCAAAATTTTGTCCAGTGTTTACATGCTTTTTTGCTTTTTTTTTTTTTTTACAAGTTATAGGGCTATAAGTACAAATAGGAAATTGCTGTTTCAAAATATATATTTTTAAAATGTATCAAAAGTGACATTGTAACACTGTTATCTGTCATAAATCTCTGAATCACACCTCACATGTACATATTTTTTTAAAGTAGACAACCCAGGGTATTCAATATTTATTTATTTATAAAATATTTTACCAGGAAAGATACATTGAGATTTCTCTCGTTTTCAAGTATGTCCTGGGTCCACAAATCATAAATAATATGGGGTCTTTCCAGTCTTTTTTAGTAGCCACTTAGTCACAAACATTGGCCAAAGTTAGCATTTATATTTGTTTGTGTGTTAAAAATGCAAAAACCAATTATGAACGCTAACTTTGGCCAGTGTCTTTTACTAAGTGGTTACTAAAAAAGACTGAACATACCCCATTTGGGTTGTCTACTTTTGCAAATGGTATGCCATCATGAGGTAATTCTCTTTCCTGGGCTACCATACAGTCTCAAAGGCAATGTAACCAATCTGGCGAATTTCAATGTGAAAAAACTGAAAAAATTTAACATGCTATATTTGACCATGTAACTTTCCACCCAAAAAACCTATACATAGGGGGTACTGTTTTACATGTGAGACATCACTGAATACAAATATGTGTATTTTATTGCAGTAAAAGCAAACAGTATTATGACATTCACAGTTAGAATGTCACGTAGAACTAAACATTTTTCTTTTAAAATTCGTATTTTCTCCCATTTAAAAAAAATACATTTTATTCATATTAAATTATGTTTTATACCTAAATATTTGGATTTAAATGAAAGCCCTGTTTCCCCTAAATAAAATGATATATAAGTGTGCACATAATATGAAAGAGGTGAATTACGCCTGAACAGACATATAGCGCAAATTCAAGTTTTTGTTTACGTTTTGTTTTGATTACAACGTGTACATTTGGCTCAGTCGTTAAGGGGTTAAACAATTGTCACTAGTGATAGCAGTGTTTATTGCAGTCTACACTACATGCAATATTGCTGTCATGGATAGAACTAAGAAAAAGGCAGAATTAGTTGGCACAGCCAATCATAGCACTGTACTAAAGGGAAAATAAAATACTATGCATTCCTAGTAATGAGCACATGTTTGGAACAGTATGGTTATCAGACAATAACAGAATAGTGCATAGTATATTTGTTAAATGTAAAATAGTAATTTTAAAACCATGACAGCAGAGCCATGCTAAACTGGATTAAGGAATACATCTTGTAATCAGGTACTGTGGGAAGCTGTAACAGTACATAAATGCTGTAGACAAGCAGTGATCATCATCTAAGCCCTAGCAGAGGAGCTAAAAAGAAGCACTACAGCAGTTGAACTAGAATTCATATGAATCACACCCACCCAGCCCCTTTGGCTAGCTCTGCTCTATGTAGTCCATGAGGTTTTCTCGAAACAATTTCACCTTGAGCAAACTTAAAAGTTTGACATATATATTTTAACGAAGTGTGTACATTTAACAGGAGTTACTAAAGCTGACAGACAGACAGACATAATGAAAATGAAATAAGCATGCGGTGATCATATATGAGAAAAAACAACAACTTTGAAACTCGAGCTACCAGTAGCCCTACAGGCAGCAGAGAATAGCTGCTGCTAGGAACCAGATATACAGGCTCTGGTTTCTGAGGGAGCATGTTGAGAGGGTGGGCAATAGTCCATTCCTGGTAATGAAAGCGTGACAGTCGTGTATGTGTGGTGTCCACTATCACACAGATTGCATCTCCACCTTCCTGGGTGTGAGTTATGAATAGAATGTTGAGACTGGAGAACCGGATCTGAAGCAAATCAATAACAAGGCAGACGTGGCAGCGATATGCATGCTAGTACTGTATAGAGAGCTTCCTCCTGTGCTGTCAGCTATGAGGATCCTCTTTCTGGCCTGTCTCAGAGCCCACACTGGCAATTCAACCACAGCAGAGAGAATCAAGTAAGCACCAGCCAGGCAGCCATCCCTCATAATATGTTTGCCAAATAAATTACCGGTAGAGGAGGCAGCATGCCAAGCTACAGCTTGGTCATTATAAACTTAAATAATGTGCAGCCTTTTCCCAGGTTGGTCCAGTATGCTTATTATTTGCACAATCCTTTTTGTCATGATTTGTGTGAGAATGCATTGCCTGCAACAGAGGGGAGGTCTAAAGTTGCTTGTCTAAAGTTGTCTTACTGTGCTCCAAGTATGTCATCACAAATTCTATGAAATAAAGTTACATTGATTATATTACCAATCTACGCCTGCTTATTGTTGCTTGGCATTGTTCCTCTTTTGGATATTCATATTGAAAATGCAATTTGTAATATCATTCATAAAATATTCTTAAAGAATTATTCTTAAAGAATAAAAGAGAGCTTATGTTGGTAACTGGTGTGTACTAAAGAGGCTCTTTAAGGCAGCAGTGATAGGCAGAGAGTGTCAGCTGTGAATGTCATCCAAATGTAGAGGGAAATGAAGTGGAAGTGTAACTTCTGCAATAACTTTCTTTTTTATATATATTAGAAAAGAGGTGACAGGCCACAGGCACCCAGTGGACCATTGGTTTGTGTCACACTACTCAAAAATGCACATTGTCCACAAATTTTCTACCAGTATTATATTCATGTTGTTTTCCCCAACAAGGACATTGCTGACAGACTGACCGACTGATTTTAGTTTATGTTTGCATTGGCATGCCTTGTTAGTATAAGCGTTAAAGTGTAACTTTACTCCCTCATAGGCATGCTGACTGAAATGTGTTCATTACAAGTGCCCCCATGTTTGAATAATTTGAAATTTCAATTAGACCTATTTAGCTTGATACATAAGTATTAAAAAAAACAAAAAACATGTGGGGCGGAGCCAAGCTACTGAACTGAACGGTCGCATGCCTGCTGTGCTCCGTGACCAGAGGCCTATTTGCCACATTTTTATTGAATCCAGCCCCAAACAAACCGACCCCACCTGGATCCCCAGGCAACCCGTATCGACATGGGTCGAAAAATGAAAACACAAAGCACATACAGCAAGGCAGGCCTTGCAGGTCTTTGCGGAACATTGCCATATCCATTTGGAGATCCCACCGTAGGCCTGCCAGCAGCTCTTGCATGACAGCCTTGGTTTGGTTGTTTGGTGGCCATCTTGAGCAGTGATGCGCCATGTGCCTGACGCCATAAATCGCCGAAGCTCGTGCCCAGTTCAATGTTATAGTATGTTTGTTTCTCTCTCGGTCCTTCGGACAGAATTGTGCTACTGAAGCGTTTAATTTGTTTTTTTCCATTTAGTCTACAAAAATAAGTGCAGCGAAAACAACCTACATTATACAGAATATTGCGCACATGTCTACCTTTTTTAACTAATTGTTTCCATACTGCCAAAGTTGATATAGATTGTTTAAACATAATAATAACATAAAAATGTGCAGCCAATATATGCTCAGTTGAAATCTATGCTGTTAACCTCTGTGTGCTGCCGTGGCACTTCACTTAAATCTACCTGCACAGCCAGAAATCTTCATACTATACTGCCTCACGAGTTCCAACATGGCCTATATTTGCCGTTTCTCTTTATCTCTTCACTATTGGCATATCGGGCCTATCTCTTAGGGAGTATTCTTCCTACTTGTTATCAATACATGTGTTCCCACTTCATGCCTCAACCTAAACAATTGCACTAGTTTAAAAGTGCCCATGCCAATGCTAGTCTTAACAGTCAGTACAGTGATTATCTTCTTTCTGCTTAAAAAAATAGATGTATTATCTTGATTCTTACTCCTATTTTAACAAACATTGTGCTGACAATTGTATGCCATGCTGATGTTCTATATTATTACTCAGCTTTTTATAGTTGTTGTGGCTTTACAAGCGTATTGTTATTACTCGCACATAAAAAAACTCCCACAAGACGTATTCGCCAACATTTGAACTCATAAAAACAATACACTATAAGGTATAGCAGGTAAAGTGAGTGTGCAGACCTGCTATAGTAGAGCTTGATTGGAAAACACCAATTGTGCATGCTTGAAATGCTAGTGGTGTGCCAACAGGCTTGTTTCTTAGCAGAACACACTGGGACAGAGCTTTACTTGTATTGCGATGCTGTTCTCCATTGTTTTGCTACCATGCTAGAGCAATCCTTAATTTGAAACCATGACCTAACTATATCTACTAAATTCTCCTCTGGTAAAGTCATAAATCCTTCTCTGACTCTCCAGTGCTTCTCTAAACATACTTTTCTTGCTGACATAAGGTGCTAAATAGATTCAATAGTGGCTGTCTAACTGACGGCCACTAGTAAACACGGGTTTTGCAAAGTATAAGCAGTGCAGTTTTTGCACAAACTGCTTTTTATTCATTTGCAAGGTGTCAGGGAAGCATCTATGCTCAAATGCTGCTTCATTAAGTTGAAGTGATTTTGATGCTCTCTTTAAAGGAAACTATAGGCACTCAGACCACTTAATTTCAATAAAGTGGTCAGGGTGCCATGTGCCTCCCCCATTTTAATCCTGGGGCTGCACAAGGCCAAGTTTTCATTGCAGGGTTAGCCTGCTTCTAGTGGTTGTCAATATCACAGCCTCTAGAGCAGGGGTTCTCAACGTTAGTCCTCAGGACCCCCTACCAGTCCAGGGTTTAGGGATTACCTGGGTGTGTCTAAGGTGTTTAGAAAAAGAAAAAAAAAACACCTTAGAGTCTAAGGTGTTTTTTTCACTTTTTCTAAACACCTGAGACACACCCAGGTAATCCCCAAATCCTGGACTGGTAGGGGTTCCTGAGGACTGGGTTGAGAACCCCTGCTCTAGAGGCACTTTCATGAAGCAGAGTGTAAAAATCTATTTCAGTCAGATGGTCTGACTGATGCAGTGAAGTGTTTTGCCATGGCTGCACAATGGATTTCAAATGCTTTCCTTTGGATGATTTCAACCAAAGAGACTGGCACAGCGAGGTAAAAGGTAATTAAAATACATATTTTTTTTTTAATAACCCTGGTAGCGCTGGCCCAGTCCCCTAAACAGTGACTAGGGCAGTATATTGTTAGGAACATTCACAACACTCTTGCCCTCCCTCCATGTGTAGATTATTATTTCATATTCTTCAGTAGGATGATATTTTATCTTTAACCCCTTATGGACCAAACCTCTGGAATAAAAGGGAATCATGACATATCACACATGTCATGTGTCCTTAAGGGGGTTAAGAGACCCTCTGATGTTGTTGTTATGGTGCAGGGACTTTATGAGTGCAGTCCCTCCCATATTTTTTCAAAAAGCTTGACAAAAATGCATTACTCTCTGTTGATGTATATGCTTATTATTTACTTTGCAATATTGGAAAGATATCAGAAACAGCCATACCCTGTCTAGTGAGATTAGTCAAAACCTGATTTAAGTAGAATTTTGCTATGTGGGTTCCACATGTCCGTGCATAAACCTCTATTGTGTTTTATTTTATATTCTCCAGGGATCATCTTGAAGCAGCGGGACATCAATGTGTGCTGAAAGATGCTACATCTTTAGAGAATCCATTTGAATTAGCAAAGCTAATCTCTGAAGATATGTTTGATGCAGGACTGGTCATTCATCTGTATAAAGCAGGCAGATTTATGCTGGGTAACTTTTTCAGTTCACATGCATGCATATGTTATTGCCTCTCTTACATGCATCGTGAATAATGTCCAAAGTACTATAGTGACTGAACAGAAGGATGTGTGTTCAATAAACAAGATAAAAAGTGTACAATATGTTAGGGTCAAATCAAACATTTTCTAGCATAAACAGGAAACAAAAATAAATTATGATCATGTGCACCAAAATTAAGGCAATGTTTTCTCACTTAAGACAAGAAAAAAAGTGCACACCACACTCTGGTACTCAGTCATTTGTACATAGATTATTTTATCCAAAACACAAGTTCATTTGAGTCCTGTGAATTGAGACAAATCCACAGATCTCAATAACATCACTTGAATTAAGTTTCCCTGTGCCCCTCCCCCCCCTTTTTAAAAATAATGGTCATTTTAAAAGTTATATGGAAAAGGTGGAACTACTTTTCCTTATGTATAGCCTGCAGTTTGCCAAAGGGTGAGCTTTAGTCAAGCTCCCTGTCCTTTGTCTATTTTATCATTGGCTTGTACTTCCCTCCTTCCATTGTCGTGACACTTGCATGACTATTGTGTCATCACTTTACTGTGTTGGCACTTGTTGGATACCGAGACTCAACACAGTTCCGCAGAAGCCGCTGGAGATTCTCATCCTGGGAAGGGTATAGGCAGAAGTTTCCGGTGGAAGCCATCATAGGCACGCTAACATGATAGTGCAGTGAACAAAGAAAAATTGATATAATGTTAGTAGCACCAGTCCTGGGCCACTATCTGTTGTTGGGTCGGTGGAGCTAGCGGGAGGCAAAAACAAGCTGTGGGACAGCTGTAGTGATTTTGGTGACTATAGTGTCTTTTTAATAACTTAAAACATGTCAGGTGGAAAAATCCATATAAATAGTTTTCTTTTTAATTTTTTTAAAAATAATTTTTGTTTCACCCTAGTCTAGTGGCATTAGTAAGGGTTGATATACATTGTTGCAGAAACTGTTTATTAAATGGAACATATTTGTGGTATGGGGAAGAACCTAGATCATGTTGTGACAAGAATGGAAATATTTATTAATAATTCTTTAAATTTATTTCCAGGCACCAGAATCCCATTTGGGGCTATATATGGGGGAACAGATATCAATGAAGATGTTAAAAATGAAGAGAAATTTCGTGTGATGGGAGCTGTGCTTGATGAAGCCAGGTAACAATGTCCTAATCAGCTATTGTGTCTGCATTGCCACATTTCTCACACATTTTTCCTTTAACACATGAAGTTGGCGTGATTGGATGGTGACTTGTTAAATGCATATTACTGTGGTAATGCCTTTTTCACAAATAATGTGACACTGACTACACAGCTTCCTCAAATTCAATGAATCACCTACTAAAGTCAATGAATAATTCTTACTTCCTCTTTTAAACATTTCAAAAAGAAATGAAAAAGTGTTTTCTTGTTCAGGATTAGAAGAACAATGTACATGTATCCGTGTTTGTCTGAAAATATTGTATCGGTATGTCTGTTTAACCCCTTAAGGACAAAACTTCTGGAATAAAAGGGAATCATGACATGTCATGTGTCCTTAAGGGGTTAAAAACCAAGCTTAAGTATGGCTATGGTCATTGTTCTGCATTTAATAGTAATTGTGAAAGAATGGTGGCTTTTATGTTAACAAAAGCATGTAAAGTTAGAAGTGAATAGCAAAATATCTCACTGGCTAGGTTGGTTTTGCATTGTTTTTGAACTGTTTGACTTTTTACCTGGGGTCCCAATACCCCACCTCCTCTATAATGCAAGAGAGCCAGAATCTTCTAAGCAGGTACTATTGTTGGCTCTCCTGCAATGCATTGCTTAGCCTATTGGCTGAGAGCAATCAGTAGATCTTGCTCTCAGCCAGTAAGCTAAGCCCTGCATTTCAGGGCTTAGCTCAGTTGAGCTTACAGATGTTGCTGCATAAGAATGTCTGTATGGCTAGCCAGGATTAATAGTGGAGTGGAGGCAGGGAGTGGTGGGCTCCAGTCATTCCATGCATAAACACTTATGTAACCCTTTGGTCACATGCTACCCTAATGGTGCTGGCCCTGGTAACTGCTGAGCAGACTGGCATGCATGGGCATGGAGAGTGTTACTGCTTTCCTGGGTAGGATGTCCCCTTTGGTGTCATTGACAAGCCTCCTATTGGCTTGCAAACGAGCAGACCATTTTCTTTATTGATGCCATGCATCCTTGGGGAAACATTTCTCCCAAATTTCTCCCTAAAGCACTTTAACTTGCTGAAAAGCATCATGTGTGAAGAGTGTTCCCTCTTTTTTTCATTTTGAAAAAAAGTGACAATTTCAAATTTAGAAATTTACACTTTTACAAATTAACCTGGTAACACCCCCTGGCTTCAAGAAGACAGATCCTGTCAGTTCCTAGTTTGGTTAGCTTAGTGGAGCTAGACTCTTAGAAGCAGCAACTGCAATCATCACCTACCTTGGAAAGGCTTAAAGGACCACTATAGTGCCAGGAAAACATACTCGTTTTCCTGGCACTATAGTGCCCTGAGGGTGCCCCCACCCCCAGGGTCCCCCTCCCGCCCGGCTCTGGAAAGGGGAAAAGGGGTAAAACTTACCTTTTTCCAGCGCTGGGCGGGGAGCTCTCCTCCTCCTCTCCTCCCCGTCGGCTGAATGCGCAGCAAGAGCTGCGCGCGCATTCAGTCGGTCGCATAGGAAAGCATTATCAATGCTTTCCTATTGACGCTTGCGTGCACTCACTGTGATTTTTCACAGTGAGAATCACGCAAGCGTCTCTAGCGGCTGTCAATGAGACAGCCACTAGAGGCTTTGGGGGAAGGATTAACCCACTTATAAACATAGCAGTTTCTTTGAAACTGCTATGTTTATTAAAAAAATGGGGTAACCCTAGCTGGACCTGGCACCCAGACCACTTCATTAAGTTGAAGTGGTCTGGGTGCCTAGAGTGGTCCTTTAATTGAGCTGAATTGCAAAATCTGTGATGGGACAGTCACAATAAGTCTGGGTGCGGCTACCAGGTGAGGACTTGCAAAAGTTGCAGACAAGATAAATGCAGCTTTTTAAAGATGTATTAGACATACAAAATAAAACGTTGCATAATTAAGAGCATGCATGTTATTTGTGGTATATCTACAAAACTGTAACTTATTTTTGTATTTGCTGGCGTGTCCCTTTAAGATCATGGACAGAAGGGATAAACCAAACTAGCTGGAAACCTTTTTTTGAATTACGAGACAGTTTTATGCAGCTCTACTCAACTTAAAATTATAAGTTGTTTTTAATTTGTTTTGTATGTAGAATATGTTTGTGCTTGTGTATTATAGTTACAGATTTTTCTTTTAACACAAAGAGGTAGCCATTAGCAGGACTTGAAAGTGATTGAGGAAGCTGTGTATCTAAGTTCCAATATATAACAAGCCTGTGTTCTTTGGAAGAGGAATTGAAAGTTCTTTAGTCACGTTGAGGGTACCTGCCATTGGGTATTGTGTAAATTTGGATCTTGCATCAGACTTGAGAAAGTACATCGGGAAGGTTTCACTATTAGGCAGTCACTGTTTAAGTGAATAGGAAGATTTTTTTTTTTTTTTTGGAGAGTCCCTATCCTATGCAGTTGTTATACAGAATGCTATGTTTTCAAGAGTTTCTGCTAGTCACAGGCAGAGGCGAATAGCAGAAGTTGTCATGTCAAGTACTACCCTTATATTTATTAAAGGAGCACACCACTACCCAAATACCCCCCCCCAAAAAAAATCACTGTTCAGTAGATATAATAAAAACATGCGTGTATTTAATTCTTTTGACATATATCTAAAAACAACTTGCAAAAGCGGCAGTTCTCTTGTCTGCAGCATTTGCAAGCCCTCCCCTTCTAACCCAGCCCAGACTTTCAAAGTAGCTCAATGAGAAGTCTTTGCAAAGCAGGTGTTCTGGACAGTTGCCTGCCTCTTGAGTTTAGCTAAACAAGCAGTAAATAACAGGATTGGTTGTCTGATTTGAAACTGATAACAAAGTTAATTTATAAATATGCAAAATTCTATTTAAATCTGCAATTTTTGTAAAATAAAGAAAAAAAATAACACTCTTTACACGTACAGCACTTCAGCAAGCTTGGTTTATGTGTTTGGAGTGTTCCTTTAAGCATTTGGCTTGTACTGAAAGGGATAAAGGATAAAGGCGTGTTCACAATTAGCAAATATTTATATATAAACTGGAATACTAATAGTTTACTGATTAGTTGCTAAAGCTTTATTAAATATTTATTTTCCTGAACCGTTCTTATCTCAAACTCTACTCACAAACTAATACATTATGTGAACTATCAACTTTAGAAAGTAGATTTTTCACTTAATATCACAGAGATTTCTTTGCTTTAGATCTGAAGTTTGCACACTTTTTTTTTTTTTTTTTTTTTAAATAACAAACCTTGGATATGTTACATACCTTTTTAATTTTGTGTGTGTGTATGTGTGTATGTATGTGTGTGTGTATATATATATATATATATATATATATATATATATATAAAATCAGATCAATCAGGAGCACTCCATTGGATTCTCAAAATAGTGTTTAATATTTTATATTTTTATTGTATTCACATACACTGTTATATTTATTTACACTTTCTTCTTCTAACATTATATTTCTGCCTATATTCATATAGGCTCTTAACCTCTTTTACTTTTACACCTTTTTCGCGCCAGCACTTAGTTGATTAGTATTTTTACAGTATTTGGGCTCCTGGTTACTGACATCTCCAATGATTTGGTCCGGTTTTTAGTTGCTTGGTCCTCGGTTTTGTTTTGTTTTTATGTCAGTTAGGGTTTCCATGGACACGTTCCGTGTCTATGGGGTCATGTGATTACGTCATTACGCACGGATACAGTGACGTTACTACGCATGCTCACTACTGAGCGGCACTTGGTGAGCGCGGGGATCACTTCACAGGTGGGGTAAGTTAGATCTACTTTTATTCCTGTATATATTTGCACTGTTTGGAGGTTGTTATTATATTGATAAAGACCCTATTCGGTCGAAACGTTGATGCTGTGATTTATTAACACCGGATTAAAAACACTATTTTGAAAATCCAATGGAGTGCTCCTGATTGATCTGATATATTGACTGGCTTGGAAGCACCCGGGTAATTTCATTGTTTATTTGATTTAAAGGAAGAGTGCCAGAGTTTGTCCTTTTAGATATAAAAATATATATATATATAATATATGAGGTCTTTGCTTCTGTTATCTGTCGTCAATGTCAATGTTTGGATAGTTTTGTAAAATTTATGTTTTCTTTATTCTGTGTCTTTGCATTTTGTTTATTGAAACTCCATTTAGTTTACATCATGGGTGTCCAACCGACGGCCCACGGGCCGCATGCGGCCCGGTTGCCATCCGTGCTGCCGGGCAGAGAGTGAGTACTGTTGTAGTAGGCAATAAACAAGAAAAATTAGAAAACATTTAAAAAAAAAAAAAAAACATTTTAAAATAGTGGGTATTTTTTTTACATTTGAATTTGGGGCAGGGGGTGCCAAATGCTCTAGGTACGTCCCTGAGCCCATTACATTCTGTGCTCCTCCTGCACAGCTTCCTCACCGCCCCTGGTAGTGAGCTGTCCGCTGGGATATGACGTCATCCTGGCATCATTGCTGGGCGCGCAAGGGACCTGTTCAAGAAGAGCACAGAGGTCCCTGGCTCCAGCCCAGCAGCAACCACTGGCCACCAGGAAGAGGATCCACTCCAGTGCTCCCAGAGCAAGGTAGGGAAGCCAGGTGGACCTCTTTTTAGTACTAAATGTGTGTGCATGTGATTTTTGTGTATGTTTTGTCAGTGATTGGCTGTGTGTGGGGGAGTTCTGTGGACATGTCTGTGATTGGGCGTGTAAGTTTGTGATTATGTGTGTGCGTCTGTGATTGTGTGTTTGTATATATGTGATTTGTGTGTGATTTTATGTGTGTGTCTGATTGTGTGTGGGTCTGATTATGGGTGTATGTATGTATGTGATTGTGTGGGTATATCTGTGTATGTGTGTGTGTGGGGGGGGTCTTTGATTGTGTGTGTATGTATGTGACTGTGTATGTGAATGTGATTGTATGTGTGTGTATCTGTGGTTATGTGTGCATGCATATATACATGTGTATGTGTTTAGTAGACAGCTCCCTAATTTGATATCCTTAAATATGCCAATCCCACACAAGGATAACAAATAAGGAAGTTATCTACTAAACAATTGAAATATCAAAATTAAGAAGAGGGCTTTTAAAGATATTATATACATTATCTATAATCTATAGTATTTGAGTGATGTGTGGCCCAAGACAATTCCTCTGCGCTCAATGCGGCCCAGGGAAGTCGAAATGTTGGACACCCATGGTTTACATCATCTGTTCACATTATTTCTTCTGGTTGTGCTGCAGATTTAATGTATTTGCTTGGTTTTAACATTTGCAATTGCTATTTTTCTTTTTATTATCATGGTTTCACGTTAATTTCTTCATTACTGAAATACCATTTTTTTTATTAATGTGACAGTCACTCAGGCAGCCACTAGGGACTTTAGACTAACAGATTCAGTTATTGAATCTAAATGACATACAATGTGCTTCTAGAGAAGCACTGGATGTATGTGGACAACGAATGTTAGTTTGAATTTCAGAACTTGATGTCATTGCATTACAACTCATTGCTAACTGAGTAGACTCATATGTTTGCAAAAAAAAGTGCTAGAATGCTAATCCACTTTTTGTTTTTGGTTGTAGGAAACTGTTGTGTAAGACCTTGCCCACACATATAGCTGTTAAGTAAAATGTTTAAAAATATGCTTTTTTCCTTTCTTAGCCTTTGTTAAAATGCTGCCCACAGATTTCTTGTTAAACATTTCAATTAACATTTTCTTACAGGTTTGCTGTGGCATTTACTTACAAGATCAAAGAAATTGCTGCAATGCACTGGGTATGACACTGACAAATTAGCCCTTGTACTAATATACTTGTACTGTATTAACCCTTTCATAAATAATCATTTGTAACATATTGCTTTGGGAAGCCTTTTGGTAGGCTATTGACCTGGGACATTAAGACACTCTGGAAATAAGGGGAAACATACGATGCTTCATTTGGATATTTATATATGGGAATACATAGTAGTGCATAAATAGTACATGGTATTTTGATATAAATAGCTACACATGACACATTTCCATAGAATCTTAAAAGCCATAGCTAATTGTTTGGAGGCAGATAAAATGTTAATATTCTGGACTTTTTTCTTTTTCTTTGCTGGCAATAAAACAAAACTTATTTATCTTTTTATTTATCTGGTTTTCGCAGACCGACCATATATAAATCTGCCTATCTGTCTGTCTCTATGTCTATTTATGTATCTTAAACAGATATGGTTTAAATAATCATAGTTAATAGTTTAACAGTACTAACCCCTTTAAATAGCAGTTTATAATTATAAAGTTATAATAAAGCTTTCTGATAAGTTGACATGATATTTAGGTTAGAGTTAATATAGGATTTGTTGTGAAGCCTAAAACTGTAACAGTCCTAACACCTCCTTCTGCCAATTCTATTAGGACTGTTAACCCCTCTCCTCATGAAAATATCCATTTACCCTTTAATTTGTTTTTCTCCTGCTGGAGGTGGGCAGTTTCTCTTGGTATTTACCACGGCTGTCTGAGTGCTGTGATAGCACTCTGTCCTTGATCCCCAGTATGTTGCCAAATCCTGTAGATTCCATCTTAAAAACATAGCCCGCATCCGCCCCTTTCTTAAGCAAGATGCTAGAGCTTGTCCATGCTCTAATAATTTCCTGCATGGATTATTGTAACCCTCTCCTAATTGGTATTTCTAAAAACCGTATTGCCCTGCTACGGTCTGTAATGAATGCTGCCGCCAGACTGATTTTCCTCTCTAGTTGGTCCTCTCACACCTCGCCCCTCTGTCAGTTCTTACATTGGCTTCCTGTATCCCATAGGAGTCAATTCAAAGTGCTAACCCATACCTATAAAGCATTGACCAATTCTAGCCCCTCTTATATCTCTCCCAGACCTGTCACATACCTGTCTCTTGCTCTCTCCTTAAAGGACCACTCTAGGCACCCAGACCACTTCAGCTTAATGAAGTGGTCTGGGTGCCAGGTCTCTCTAGGATCAACCCTTTTTTTAATAAACATAGCAGTTTCAGAGAAACTGCTATGTTTCTAATAGCGTTAATCCAGCCTCCAAAGCCTCTAGTGGCTGTCCATAGGAAAGCATTGTAAATGCTTTCCTATGAGACCATCTGAATGCGCGCGCAGCTCCTGCCGCACATGCGCATTCAGCCGAAGAGGAGGAGGAGAGCTCTTCAGCCGAAGAGGAGGAGGAGACCCCCCCTGCCCGGCGCTGGAGAAAAGGTAAGTTTAACCCCTTTCCTCTCCCCAGAGCCCGGCGGGTGGGGGCACCCTCAGGGTACTATATTGCCAGGAAAACGAGTATGTTTTCCTGGCACTATAATGGTCCTTTAAGGGCAGCACTCTACTCTCTCTCCTCCAGCTCTGCTTCACTCCCACCTTATTTGATTGCTATTTCCTGTCCTATTGTGTTTTACACCCCACCTCCGATAGACTGTAAGCTTGTTTGAGAAGGGTCCTCTTCAACCTATCGTTCCTGTAAGTTTTCTTGTAATTGTCCTTTTTATAGTTAAATCCCTCCTCTTATAATATTGTAAAGCGCTACGGAATCTGTTGTCGCTATATAAATGACAATAATAATAATAATAATAATAATAATAATGATGATGATAATAATAGCAGAAACCATTTCAGGGCTCCTTCTTGTGTTTTTTTTATTCTGTCAGAGCATCTGGAGAATCTGAAATTATTTCACATTCTACTGTTAACTTTGAGTTAGTACAACACTTTAGTGTACAAAGAAGTTGTTCTTGCTGACAAATAGTTTGCATACATTGTAATTGCAAATTTGGTGACATTTTACATTCTTTCTATTATTATTTTTTATCTGGTCTTTCTCCTTAATTAAAGGGATATTCTAAGCACCCAAACAACTCTTATTTAAATGGACACTATAGTGACCAAAACATATTTATCTTAAGCAGTTTTTGTGTATAGATGATGCCCCTGCACTTTCTCTGTTCAATTATCTGCTATTTAGGAGTTAAATCAAGTTTGTTTCTGTTTATGCAGTCCTAGCCACACCTCCCCTGGATTTGACTGATCCGAACTTCATGAAAACAAAATGGTTTCTTACTTTAAAAGTTGTTATTGTCTGCTCTGTAAATAGAACTTTAATCACACTCAGGAGGCTCTTGCAGGGTCTAGCAAGCTATTAACAGAGCAGGAGATGAGTTATCCTAAATCAAGCAGAGTTTACAATTAATAAAGTGTAAACATTAGATGACGCTTTACAGGAAGTGTTTAGGAAGGCTGTGTAAGTCACATGCAGAGAGCTGTGATTAGGGCTGCATAAACAAAGTGATTTTACTCCTAAATAGCAGAGAATTGAAAAGTGAGACTGCATGGGGCATGATCTATACAACAAACGACTGCATTAACCTAAAGTTGTTTTGGTGACTATAGTGTCCCTTTAATTAAATAACTCTTGTTTTATAAATAAGTTTTGACTTTTAGATCATGCTCCTGCAGTTTCACTGCTCAATTTGCTGCCATTTAGGAGTTGAATTACTTTGTTTATATAGACCTAGACACACCTCCCTGGATGGGATTTGCACAAACTTCCTCAATGCTGGATTGCACAGTCAGTTTAATCTAGAATTTATTACCTCTTGCTCTGTTAACAGCCTCCTAGATTCCTACAGGAGCCCCCTGTGTGTGATGAAAGTTGAATTTACAGAGCATGAGATAAAAACTTCTAAGCAAGTTAATGTCTGATTGAAAATAAAACAATCTTTTTGTCTTACATGCTGTGTTAGTCACAGCCAGAGGAAGTGTGTCTAGGACTGTATAAACAAACACAAGTGACTTAACTCCTAAATGGCAGAGCATTAAGCAGTGAGACTGCAGGGGCATGATCTATACACTAAAACTACTTCATTAAGCTGTAGTATATAAATCATGCTCTCACTGCTCAAGTCTCTGCCAATTAGAAGTTGTCTGGGTGCCAGGTCCCCCTAGTTTTAACCCTGCAACTGAAAACAGAGCAGTTTCAGAGAAACTGCTATGTTTACATTGCAGGGTTAATCCAGCCTCCAGTGGCTATCTTTCCTATGGGCGGTTTGAATGCGCATTCGACTCCACTCGGGAGCTGACATCGGCAGGGGAGGAGAAGTCACCAGCGCCGAGGGAGACCTGGATCAAGGTAAGTGGTTGCAGAGGGGCCATGAGGGAGGGGGGCTACCTAATAACCCTATAGTGCCAGGAAAACAGGTTCCCTCACCTCCTCCAGCCTACATGGAAAGAAATGGTTTCATTTTCAATCAGATCTTACAGTATTTTCAATCGGATCTTACAGTACAGTTTGTTTAGTTTACAGGTTCCTCTTTTCTAAATTTGTGTCGCACACAGTAGACTGTTGCAGGGTCTAGTAGATTTACAGAGCTGGAGATAACACAATCTAATTTGAACACACTGTGCAATAAGAGATTCTAAAAAAAAATACTCTTTTTCAGAGGCTGTGTTAATCATTTCTTCTGAAGCAGATCTTAAAAGGTTACTCTAGCAAAAAAAAACAACTGTGTTTTAAGAAACCACTGGTTTTGAATGAATTACCCTTACTAGCCTGATACTCCACACCCCAAATCTAACCCACCTGCTCCCCCCCAAATAGTTAAAACTTGACTTATTTTCCAGTGCCGATTCCAAGTTCTCCCTTGGGTCGGTCTTCCTCCACTGGCATCACTCTCCATAGCTGAGGATTCAGGGAGAGTGAGCTGTGAGGATGACATGGACATCATGTACAGTGCTCTGTGCAGGTGTCAGACTCCACTGTAGCACAGAATTAATGTTAGCCAGCCCATAACTCTTTTTGAGTTAGCAGCAGAGGGATTAACCTCTCTATGTACAGCGTTTCATGGTGAAATTCTACACATACAGACTCCAGACATCATGCACATAGTAGTAGTTATGATGCTTGGAGAGTTTCTTTAAGGAAGTGTGGTCCACAGGGTGCTATTCCATTGATCTCTATTTTGTAACGTTGACCTTTATTATCAATATCATCTAGATTATTCTCACACTGACAAGAATACTACTTTGCATTGGATAAATCAGCTACATGGTGTTGCTGCCACAACTTGTACCCTTTCGTTAAGACCTTTCATGTCTAGTCTTATATCTGCTAATTTCACTCTGTTGTCATATTTAATTTCCACAATTGTTTTTCTGCAGTCAGACTTTGTGAGTATCAAAGTGTTCATATTGTGGATACCTGTCTTTATTGTGTTGTTTTTGGGTTTTCTATCCAATGAATCCTTTGAATGTGGCAATGTTAGTGACTTGCAAGTCCACCAGTGTGCCCAAATATTCATCAATCAGACCAAGACTTATGTGACTGTCCAGAACCATTAGCTGGTGTATGGGTCATTGGTTCCATCCAATCATATAGTGGAACTCCAGCTTCACACACCCTATGTGGTTGACTGTTGGGTCATGCCACACAGATTCAATCTTTCAACAAACTAGCTCAAGGGAGTGGCTCCACCTCAGTAATAAGGGGACTTTTGAAGACCATGGGAGAATGGGTAGAGGGTTTGAAAAATGTTTGAACTTAAACATGGGGAGGTTAAATACATGAATAAAAACGTGAATTTTGTGTACTGGAAGTCAGGTTTTAATTTAGAAACTATCAGAGGAAAGGATGAGTTAGTGAATATGATAAGGAGTTGGTCAAATTAATGCTAAACAGTGTATGAAAAGTTAAACATTATTAGCATCATTACATGTCTGCTTGCATATGCCAGAAATTTAGAGCAATACAGCTGCTAGCATTATTGCCATGAATATTATCATTGAAACTGCGGTGTGATCTTCCTCATGACTTCATAGGTAACAAAACAACAAATGGGAAGAGGTTTATAAGCCAGCACAGAATTAAAGCCTAGTTTTTAGGAAGTGATATTTGAAGATTCTGGTAATTATGTTGAATTACATTCATTGTTGGAATATGCAAACCAATGAATGGTAGTAATATTCCCCTTTCAATAATTTACATGGCAGATGGAACACTTAGTTAGGTAGCAGGACACTATAGCGTAAGGAATAAATTCCCAACCCTACTAGTGGAGGTCTGGCTAAGGCAGAGATTACCCACCTACCTCTAGCCATACCAAGTTAAATCCATTTAAAATACCAGCAATAAACACGTAATAGGCTGTGTAACGGCACCCCCAGGCATAAAAGGGGTTAACAGCCGTTTAGGAGATATTCCCTTCCAGATATACAGGCAGCTACTGTAGACACCAATCCACCGAACCGGAGAAGCATACGAATGCTCTCAAACATACGAATGCCGTAAACAGCCGAATAGGAAAAACCATACGAATTGGTTTACACTCCTAGAAGTTGAACTGGAACAGCATACAATAAATTCCCCCAAGAACGAGACAAGGTTTCGAAGGTTAAACGAGACAAGGTTTTGAGGGTCAAGCAGGAACAGACCAGAGCTGTGGGTTTATTGTTCTTATATACACATTCTTACACATTAGTACCAACCACAGGGTTTTGTAAAACAACCAATAAACACGTACAATACACTCAGACACTCCCACACAAAATCCTCCCCTCTGCCTGTGATACAATTACCTTACACAATGGGTTAATGTAATTATCACAGGCAGAGAAATACAGTTTTTCCACATTATTCATAACTTTAAAAGTATGCATCACATTCACACTTACATTTTCAGAATCAGCATACTCAAAATTCAAACATACGTCAAAATCATACAAATTGGTCCAGTGGTTCAAAAGATAGATCGTAGTCCTTTGTGACCAAATGAAGCATGGCTTTTCTGCCCAAAACCAGTTCCACAGCGTCTTCTATCCTGGAGATAATTAGGAAGTAATCCAATTATCTCCAAGGACAGAGGCAAAACTCCATTGAACACATGGTAGCAAAAGACAATAAAATACATACAAATATATAACTGTGCAGCTATTGCATAAAACAGATACATTCAACAAATCCCCAGATAGCTTAGGTCTGAGCGCACATTATTACTGAATGGCGCTCAGATCACATACATACAGTTCAATTGCCATGGAGCCAAAGTCTTTCACATAGTCTTTCGTTATACAAATGGGCTCCATGGCATAGCTATCTGGGGTATCAATGTTCAAATAGGGCAAGTACCGAATGACCCGGTTTTCATGTCTTTGCAGGGGAAAATCAAGCATTTCAACATGGGGCCATAGTCTAAAGGCAGCAGGCGGGCAACCAGGCTCCTCCAATGCACAGTGGCGAGATTGGTCTCATCACAGGCTGAAAGTGGTAACACTCTTTTACAACTGCCCATTGCTGCTCAGGCAAATGCTTCCTCATTAGCCAAAGCAGATTATAGATGGGCTGCGGAGGACTTTGGTTTAGCATAAACATTAAAAAAGGCTTTAATGCTGAATGGAAGGACAGTGCCAGGGTTCTCCAGAAAAAATGACCGCTTCAATGAGATGAAGCAGTTACAGTGGTTCTTCCGAAGAGTTTTATTTTGCTCTCTTTTAGGCAGAAGAATTCCCCTTGCAGGCACTCTGAAATCGGTGCCTAAAGCCCTGCTATACAAGGTGGTGTTCTGTTAGCACAGTTATGACTGAAATGCTTGAGTACACGTATTTAAAAATTGCACGCACATACTTTTGGTGCTGTAATGTATATTCCTATAATACATGACTGTGTACAGTGTGGATAAACATATTTTCAAGTTCACTCTCTTTATACCTCAAAATTAACAAAACATGTAGATGAGGGTTAGATTATATTTTGCTCTTATTCATTATTTGTTTCTGTTCTTTTTCTTTTTTTTGTTTTTTTTAGCCACATGCAATACACAAAATACATATCACACCTCAAGGTAAGTTTTTTTTTTTTTTTTTTTTTTTTTTTTTTTTTTTTTTTTTTTTTTTTTTTTTTTTTTTGTGAATTTATAATGAAAATTTTGTTTGTGATATTACATTATAGAACTGGGAAAGATAAATGTATATTGCATTTTATTGAATGTTTTGCTGCCTATTTTAGCTGTACTTACTATTCATTAGTGTTTTATTTTTAATTCAGAAATATTAATAAAATGTTTTAAAGGGTTATTCCAACCACCATGGCCACTTCATGGATTATGTATGTGCAGTATTTCTCTTTAAAACAATGCACATCCAGAGTCATTTCTAATTGTGTGCTAGTTGTACCTCAGCACTTGGGACATTGACTCGGGACATTGGGAGAACTCTGTTCATCCCTGGCATGGAAAGCACACATGTGCTCTGAGCTGGCAGTAGGTTCAATCACAGGTTTCTCTATGAGAAGCCTATGATGGACAGAGTGAGGCCTCTGTGACATGAGGATGGGGTATAAAATGCAGCAGCCTGAGCTTTGCCTGGCAGGGAATTCCAGGTAACTAAAAACCTTTTCCAGGTTCAGTGTAAACCTTTAATTATGTAAATTGCATTACCTTTATTTTTCAAATACTTTCATTGGTTTTAAGAGCTGGATTTTTTTTCTGACAATCTTACAACCATGAGTCTTGAGCACGTTCTAGAGATACTGCACAAATTAAACCTCATCATATTAGTTTCAGTTATTAATAGTCTTAGTGTTTTACAAGTTAGCTTGTAGAATTCTTAGCATGGCAATTCTTAACTCCCCCCACTTTGAATGGGTTAAATATGCAATTGTTCATTTAACGTAACTGTGTCCTTTGTCCATGGTATCTTATAGTGAATGTTGTCCTTTCTTATTTAGTTCCTCAACTTCTATATTACTTTGCAAAATTTACATACTGTTTAAAGAGACTCCGTAAGCACCATAGCCACTACAGTTAATTTAATGGGAATTGTTATGGGGCTATGAGTCTATAAAAGATGTCCCTTGGTTTTCTGTTAAAGGGTTACTCCAAGGGAGGAGGGGGAGGGAGGGTGGAGGGGTCTATGGAACTAGTAGTTGAATATTCTGCCAGTGCGACAGTATACAGGCGGGGCCTGGCGGTGGCATATATGAAGTATATCACCCATTAAAGATAATAAAAATACTAAAATAACAGATGTAGCCGTGGGGTTTAACACTATATATTCAAGCTCAAGAGAGCGCAGGAGGAAATATGTATCTACAAAAACAAACTATAAAAAAAAGTTGTAGGCAAAACGTAATAGAGAGTCAAGTCACTGGAGCACTGGTGGAGGTAACCCACTTTGGGCTGCCGGCACAAACTGTGTAATCCTCTCCTGGTCCCAGGAGGTAGATGTCGCTGGGGTTGGGGTATTCTGCCCGGCGGGTTGCTCTGTCAGGCCAAGATGTTGGAGGACATCTGCGATCTCTGAAGTGTCCCTAACCTTCAGTGGACCTGTTTCCCTTGGTTCAATCAAAATTCGGGGGGAGCCCCACTTGTACAGTACCTTGTTTGCGGCTAGTGACAGTGTCAGAGGTCTCAGGGACTGTCTACATTCCAGCGTGGCCCTGGATAAGTCTGGGAAAAGGGTAAGACTATGGTCCTCGAACCGGAGGGGTGACTTAGTGTGGACTGCCGCCATAAAGGCTGTGTGGTCCGTGCCCAGCTGAAAGCGAAGGATTACCTCTCTGCTTGTTCTCTGTTCTCCTGTGGGAGATCCGGCAACACGGTGCCAACCATCAAGGGTGATAGATTTTGCTTGTTTAGCCTGAAACAGCACGGTGAGCAGTCTCCGGAAAAAGTGCGGGAACTCCACTGCTGTGATGGTGTCAGGTAAGCCGCGTAATTTAATATTTTTTCAGCGCCTTTTCTCTTTTAGAACAGCAATGTGGGCCTGGTTTTGCTTTTGTGACCGCTGTATGGCAGAGAGTTACTGCTCCAGAGCGGCAATGTGAGTCTCGTGAGCTACCGTGCGTAGCTCCGTGTTATGGAGTCGGGCTGAGATTGATTTCCTCATGGAACTGGCCAATGTCGGGGCGATATTGGGACGTAGTTCGTCCAAAAGGTTCTGCAGACTGTCTTCAGTCACCTGGGGTTGACTGGTTTTTGAGGTGGGTGAGGGGTTCTACCCTCCAGTCTCTCCACTTAGTCTGTTTCCCTTGGTAGGGATTCCTCGCTGGACGTGCGTGATAGTCCGTTCCGACAGAGGCGCCATGACAGGTCTCTGCGAGGATTATGGCCTCTACAGCAGATCGCCTATGTCGGCTGTTGTCTGTGGGCGATCCGGCTTATATTTCTTGCAGCAGCGTCCCATGTCACAAGGTAAGTGTCTGCGGTAGGTAGTGCCGATAAAGCTTGATTTTCCTCATATTTTGTGGAAACTCTCTCGGAGCTCTGGCAACATGCGACCAGGCAGCTTGGCTGATAGCTCCGCCCCCAACATCAGTTGTTTTAAGTGTTAAAGGAACACTATAGGGTCAGGAACACAAACATTTATTCCTGACCCTAAAGTGTTAAAACCACCATCTGGCCCCCTCATGCCTCCCTAAATATAGCAAAATCTTATTTGTATCCAAGTCTGCAGCTGTAGCTCTGCATGCTGTTTGCCTCAGAATAGCAACCTGTCTGCTGACACCATCAGAAGTGGTGGCCTGATCCAATCACAATGCTTCTCCACAGGATTGGCTGAGACTGACAAGGAGGCAAATCAGGGGCAGAGCCAGCACAATTCAAACACAGCCCTGGCCAATCAGCATCTCCTCATAGAGATGAATTGAATCAATGAATCTGTATGAGGAAAGTTCAGTGTCTGCATGCAGAGGAAGGAGACACTGAATGTTTGGATGCATTTTAGGCAGCCATGACCCAGGAGGGATCTCTAACAGACATCTGAGGAGTGGCCAGGGAAGTTATCATTTCTCTGAAAAAGACAGTGTTTACAGCAAAAAGCCTGCAGGTAATGATTCTACTCACCAGAACAAATTCAATAAGCTGTAGTTGTTCTTGTGACTATAGTGTCCCTTTAAACTCTTTCAGATTGATAATTATTGCTTCAGATCTGAGGAAGAGACGAAACTTTCAAAAGCTTGTCTTTGAAATATTATGTTAGTCCAATAAAAAAGGTATCATTGCATACTGCAATACTCTGGTATTTTGGCATCTTGTCTACTGGACTAATATGGCCAATCCAATCATCCCTCGAGCTTAGGTAGTGGAGGCAGGGGCAAACTCCAAGTAAGATATTAAGCCATTCTATAATGGTTTGACTACTTACAGGAACCAGGGCACTCCTGGCACCATAACCACTACAGCACGCTGTAGATGTTATGGAGCTAGAAGTATTCCTTAAAGGGACACTATAGTCACCAGAACAACTACAGCTTATTGAATTTGTCCTGGAAGAGCCTTAACGGCAAAACACGATTCGGGACGTTACTTTTTTATGGTGTTGGTTAAGATGATAAGGGGACATGCCTTGACACCATTAGATTACACCACCCATACAAGATTTATTTTATCTTTTATTTACTATTTCTTTATTCATTATTTTCATTTTGTTTTATGGTCTTGTTTTACGCACTGCATTTAGTTAACTCAGAGAAGGGGAGGGGGTTACTAGCATTTTTTTTAAGGGTTGCCCTTGAAGGCACAGTAGAGTAGGGAAGCTAGTCTTTCCAATCTAACTTTCTCTCATTTATTACTACCTCGATCTTTGGCAGGACTTTCAGTTTTGCTATGTTAACCTCCCCATCTGGGTTATTAGACAAGCAACATATTATTTATTTATTTATAAAATATTTTACCAGGAAAGATACATTGAGATTTCTCTCGTTTTCAAGTATGTCCTGGGTCCACAAATCATTGCATTGTTACATTAGGTACAACAAAATACAAAAACAATATTAATACACAATATATACAAAATTTAACATAGAACAGGCAGGAAATATATAATCAACCATGACACGTGCATTCTGTTTTGAGGTATGTAGAGAGGGATCTCTTAAATGACTTTAGGCTTAGGGAAGATTTTAAATTGTGCGGGAGGTCGTTCCACAATTGCGGTGCTCTGTAGGAGAAGGAGGATCGGGCCGCTTTCTTTTTGTATTGAGGTAGACTAAGTAAAGTGCTTGTACTGGATCGGAGCTTATAGAAAGTGGGAACAGCTGGGGAAAGCATTTTGTTCAGGTAGGGTGGGAGTTTCCCAGAAAAGCTCTTAAAAACAAGGCTGGAAAGATGAAGGGTGCGTCTGGATTCCAGCAACAGCCAGTTTAGTTCCTTTAGCATGTCACAATGGTGGGTCCTGTAATTACATTGTAGCACAAATCGGCAGAACGAGTTATACAATGTGTTGAGTTTATTAATGTGGGATTGCGATGCAGACGCATATACTACATCCCCATAATCAATGATTGGCATCAGCATTTGCTGTACAATCTTTTCCTTTACTGTAGGGCTTAGGCAGGCTTTGTTTCTGTACAGGGCACCTAATTTTGGATAAAGTTTAGATGCAAGCTTTTCTATGTGCAGGCCAAAAGATAGATTGGGGTCTAATATCATACCCAAGTATTTGAAAGAGTGGACTGCGGTCAGTGTGCCATTTGAATTTGTTTTGATGGATAGGTGGGGATTGTGTAATTTAGGTACTGTTCCAAAGATCATTGTGACAGTTTTGTCAGTGTTCAGGAAGAGTTTGTTTTTTGCGATCCACTTTTCTACCTCTGTAAACTGGTCTTGGAGCAAAGCCTCAAGTTGCGGTAGATTGGATTTGCTCGCATAGATTACCGTGTCATCTGCGTACATGTGTACATTTGAGGATTGGCAGACATTAGTCAGATCATTTATAAATAATGTAAATAGTAAGGGGCCGAGAATGGAACCCTGGGGAACACCACACGTGACTGGGAGAGGGAGGGAGTCACTGTCAGAAATGGACACATATTGCGAGCGATCCGATACATACGATCGAAACCAGTTTAAAGAATGATCACCAATACCTGAGTTTTCGAGTTTGTGCAGTAGAATGTCGTGGTCTACTGTGTCAAAGGCCTTAGCAACATCAAGGAAAATAGCTCCAGTTAGGGCTCCTTGTTCCAGGCCAGTTTGGATGTCATTGCAAACTTTTAGGAGGGCAGTTGTAGTGGAGTGATTCTGGCGAAAGCCCGATTGATCAGGGGTCAGATAGTTTAATTGTTGGTAGTACTCACAAAGTTGCGTATGGACACATTTTTCTAAGATTTTTGACAATACCGGGAGCAATGATATTGGGCGATAGTTAGAAACCAAAGTAGTGTCACCACTTTTATGGATAGGCACTACTTTCGCAGTCTTCCAAAGTTTGGGTATGTATCCAGACACCAAGGATTCGTTAATTAGAGTTGAGACGGGTTTAGCAATTGCCGGCGCACTGAGCTTCAACAGCATTGCTGGGATTTGATCAGGTCCGGACTGGTTTTTCATTTTTAGATTATTAAGATGTTTTTTAATGACACTAACAGGTACAGGTCTAAAATTAAACTTATCTATATTGGGCTTTTGCAAATTTAGTGGGGCCTGATCCACATTTGTAGTTTCAGGATGCTGATCCAATCACAGTGCTTCCCCATAGGATTGGCTGAGACTGACAAGGAGGCAGATCAGGGGCAGAGCCAGCATGATTCAAACACAGCCCTGGCCAATCAGCATGTGTGACTTCTAGTGAATTATCACTGATTTGACAGTGAGATAGTATTGGACTGATATTTATTTATTTTCTTTTTAGTTTTGTTTATTTCTTCTTATTCTAATTATTATTTAATTTACTATTTACTTATTCTGTGTATTCTATTTCTATTTGCTTTATGCACTTTTGGGGAATTTAATTCTCCTTATACAGGCAGAAGTGATATTTATTCTGCTGACAACTTTTAAATATGTGACTTAGTATTTTTTCACCTATTTCTTTTACTATAGTTATTAAAAGTTACGGTTTAATTGGGTTACTCGCTTTTCAAAGGGGCTCACCTACTAAATGGTTTACCCTTTTGTTGTTCTTTTCTCTACTGTGACTTGTTCTGGTGAGTAGAATCATTGCTTTCAGGCTTCTTGCTGTAAACACTATATTTTCAGAGAAAATGCAGTGTTTACATTACAGCCTAGTGATAACTTCCCTGGCCACTCCTCAGATGTCTGTTAGAGATCCTTCCTGGGTTATGGCTGCCTAAAATGCATCCAAACATTCAGTGCCTCCACCCTCTGCATGCAGACACTGAACTTTCCTCATAGAGATTCATTGATTCAATTCATCTCTATGAGGAGATGCTGATTGGCCAGGGCTGTGTTTGAATTGTGCTGGCTCTGCCCCTGATTTGCCTCCTTGTCAGTCTCAGCCAATCCTATGGGGAAGCACTGTGATTGGATCAGGCTACCACTTCTGATGATGTCAGCAGACTGCTTGTTTTTTTTAGGCAAACAGCATGCAGAGTTGCAGCTTTTGGCTTGAATACAGTAAGATTTTGCTATATTTATGGAGGCATGAGGCGCCCAGGGGGGCTAGATGGTGGCTTTAACACTATAGGGTCAGGAATACATGTTTGTGTTCCTGACGCTATAGTGATCCTTTAAAGTGGAGAATGCAGACCTCTCTAAAACTATGTCCAAGTGCCAATAAAAATGATCAATTGTGGGCATATATAGACCCATAATTGCATTCACATATACAGTAGATAAAACAGTTTGCACGTGATGTCTTTAGTGTTGTATTGCTACCCTAGCTCTCGCAAAGTTTATTCATCCTTCCTCCTTTATACAGTAAGTTGTGGATTCAATATAATACTGCTTCTGAATGCCTGATACATAATATATATATATATATATATGCTTAATGTATAATATAATGTACATATATGGGTGATTAATATGTATGTGTAATGTATTAAAGGGACACTCCAGGCACCCAGACCACTTCTGCCCATTGGAGTGGCCTGGGTGGCAATTCCCACTACCCTTAACCCTGCAACTGTAAATACTGCAGTTTTCATAAACTGCAATATTTACCTTGCAGGGTTAACTCCTCCTCTAGTGGCTGTCTACTAGACCGGCATTGCCGTGCATGCGCATTAAGTCTCCCTCGTCGCCGGCTGCGCATTCGCAATATGTTTCCCCTGCCGGATGACGTCAGCGTGGGAGGAGCATGGGCGGACCCTGAACCAGCCCCGAGGGACATCGGTGCTGGATACAGGTGAGTCACTGAAGGGTTTTTAACCCCTTCAGCAACCTGGGATGGGGGGGTGGGAGGGAGAGGGGACCTGCAGTGCCAGGAAAACGGTTTGTTTTCCTGACACTGGAGAGTCCCTTTAACTGTATATATCACTTTAATTTTCCCTTTTCATGTCATTCCCTTTGATGTAATTTGTTTTTGTTTCGTTTTTTTACCATCTTCCTTTTCATCAGTCTTTATTTTCAGTTTATTTTACTCTGGTCTTTCCTTTTCACCAATCTCTCTAAAATTGTATTTTACAAACTCCCATACACACTGCACTTTACTAAGGGATATGCAAACTCCTAGTACACACTGCACATTACAGAGGGCTCTGTAATATCCCAATACACACTTCACATTACTGGGAGCTATGTATCCCCTCCTACACATTGCACATTCCAGTGGGCTCTGTAATATTCCAATATACACTGCACATTACTAGGTGTTCTGTAATATCCCAATACACACACAAGTCATTAATGTGGGCTCTATAATGACCCAGCTCAGCCTGCACCTTACTAAGGGTTATGTATATCCCAGTACACACTGCACATTACTGGAGGCTCTGTAATATTCCAAATAAAACCTGGACATTACTAGGGGCTCTGTAATATTCCAAGGACAGCCTGCACATTACTAAGGGCTCTGTAATATTCCAAGGACAGCCTGCACATTACTGGGCTCTGTAATATTCCAAATACAGCCTGCACTTTACTGGGGCTCTATAATATTCCATGTACAGCCTGCACATTACTGGGGCTTTGTGATATTCCATGTACAGCCTGCACATTACTGGGGCTCTGTGATATTCCATGTACAGCCTGCACATTACTGGGGCTCTGCAATATTGCATGTACAGCCTGCACATTACTGGGGCTCTGTGATATTCCATGTACAGCCTGCACATTACTGGGCTCTGTAATATTCCAAATACAGCCTGCACTTTACTGGGGCTCTATAATATTCCATGTACAGCCTGCACATTACTGGGGCTCTGTGATATTCCATGTACAGCCTGCACATTACTGGGGCTCTGTAATATTGCATGTACAGCCTGCACATTACTGGGGCTCTGTGATATTCCATGTACAGCCTGCACATTACTGGGCTCTGTAATATTCCAAATACAGCCTGCACTTTACTGGGGCTCTATAATATTCCATGTACAGCCTGCACATTACTGGGGCTCTGTGATATTCCATGTACAGCCTGCACATTACTGGGGCTCTGTAATATTCCATGTACAGCCTGCACATTACTGGGGCTCTGTAATATTCCATGTACAGCCTGCGCATTACTGGGGGTCATTTAATATGCCAGCACACACTGCACATTACTGAGGGCTTTGCAATATCCCAGTACACACCGCATATTAGTGGGGGCTCTGTCATATCCAAGTACACACTGCACATTACTGAGGGCACTGTAATGTATCACTTGCGCATAATAACACTGAGACAAATATCCTCAACATATTTAAGTTAGTTTTGTAAGATACGCATGAAAACAAATAAAGTAAAACTTAAACCCAGAGGACTAATGTTATTTTTTGCTTCCTCTGTGTTTTCAGGGATTTTAACAATGCCAAATGTATATTTCAGCTGTGAAACATTTCTACATGATGCAGGTAAATTATTGTTGGATTTTAAAGGTTCACTTCTATAATTGGTGCTTTTCATGTGAAATGGGTTTACGACTTACTGCAGCTAAGTGTCAGCCAAAGGGTTACTGTAATTTATGTCACTAACTGCTTCAAACTACTTATCACTAGCAAGAACAAAACCATTAACCAAAAGATCAGAAAAACACGGTTTTCCCAGCCTGTCGCACGGACACTCCAGCTGTGCGTAACAAATTGACAAATGCAAAAGAATAGCTTCATCACGTTTGTAAATACATGTCATTATTCTATACCAGTGTCCTAGTTTTAAACTGAGCCCTAGCAGGTTATTTCATCCTCAATAAATCAAAGTAGATCACACCTAAGCTTTATACATCATTGAATTCAAATGAGCAACACTTTACTCCACTAAGTAGTGATTTTATTCCTGGTTCATTTTAACCCTGTCAGCACTAAAACTACATTAAGCGGAAAAAACATACATGTCACAGAAAGTGATTTGGTTGTCAAAAAACATTGAAGGAGAGGTCACATTATTGTATTTCCTCGTAGTGTTTCAAGAATTATAATGTGGTATTTCCATATTGCCATGCCCTTGGCAGTTAAATTTCTTAAAATAATGTTCTGCTTGGATGATCCCAGAATAATTTTGACAACAGACAAGACCTACGTGACTCAAAGTTTTCATATTTATGCAATGCCATTAAAACATCATCGTATTAGATCTTTGATTTTGCTGCAAATCTTGATTGCTTTAGAATTTTCACTCTGTTAGAGGTTCTACTACTTTCATTTGAGATAGCTCTTCCCCTTGCTATATTTAATTTTGTTAAAATGAAGTGAATAAAATGTGCATAGAATTGAATGAGGGTTCTTCACTAAATTGTGAATTTTTTTGAATTGACTATTGAATACCAAATTTTAATGCGAAAATAGCCGAGCTAGAAACATCATTTTTTTTTTTTTTTATTATTATTTTTTTATACAGATAACCTATATTGTCCTAAAATTTAAAATTAACTGATTACTTCATGGCCTTTTTGAACACCAAATAAACAGTATATCAAATACTAAACATATTGACAAAACAAATAACCAGGATTGTTTTTATTCTTTTATTAATTAGGCTTTTTTTAGTACAATTTTTTTTTTTTATTCAATTTTATTTGCATGTAGCAATTTTACTTGACACTAAAAAGTAGATAAGATCAGAACCATATTCCATTTTTCCTCAAGTTCTAGAAATTTTTAATAAACATACCCCCACCTGCACATAATAGCAATACCGTTACTTGATAAATAAAAGTACAGAATAGAGTACATGATGTCCATCTGAAACCCATGCCTCTAATGTCAAGTATCACACTACCATCTGAATTCTTCCGGGCATTATTATAGTATGTAGCTGTTCATTGATAAATTAATTCTATCACAAGATTGTATCACAGATGGAATTATCATAAAACAAAATTGTAATAATAATATAAAAAGAATATATTCTACGTGGTTAACTACAAAATGATTTAACCCATGTTGGACTGTACACAGTATAGCTCATTACAGAAGTTTGCTTAATGAAATTCATTCATATTTTAATTTACTTTTACATATTTCTCTTATTCTTAATGCCAGGAATTCAGCAGGATTTAGAGAATTTGAAAATCTTTGTCCTGATATGTGGTCTTAGGAGAGTAAAAGATCCGCTTTATCTGGTAGAAGAATTTGCAGGTGAGTATATTCTTATAATTCTTCTGAGCTAAGAATGTCCTCTTTAGCACTTCGTCCAGTATTTGCTTCTGTGTTCCTACGTTTAATATGTTTTCTTTGCAGAATTGTATAAATATTTAATAAACTCTTTAATATCAATATTCAAACATACCATACTTTTTGTTTTATTTAATTTTGTGGCCGTTGATGTGTAATAGTCTCCTGATATTTGTACTGCGATTTACAGTATTCTCAAAGCATTTACCCAGATAAGTTGGACACACAGTAACAGAGTATGTTGAGGGCCCTGCTCAAATGAGCTTATATGCTAGAGGTGATACAAAAGGTATGGTAGGGGTGATACAAAACAGTGCTTAGCTGTTTGTTTGTTTTTGGATGACAGTTGCAGGAGAGGAAGCAAGGTGTGTGGAGGGAAAGCAATTAAACTTTTAATTGATATGCTTTCCTGAAGACGTGAGTGTTTGATATTTTTTTTTTTTTTGGAAGGAACGAAGACTGGGTAAAACTCTAATGGAGCAAGGAAGGGAGTTCAATAGGAATGGTATGGTACAGCCCTAGAGAAGTCTTGGAGTTGGGCATCAGATGTAAGAGTATGAACAGAGGATAGACACAGAGCGATGGGACATACTTGTGTGCTAGGGAGGGATTTGTAAGCAAGTACCAGAATTTTAAATTGAGCCCTATATCTTATGGGAAGTCAATGTAGGGACTAACAGAGGGAGAGGCGTGGGAGGTGAAAGTGAACAGGAAGATGAGCCTTGCCACTTGAATGTAATGAAGCAAGTTGCAAACACGTAAGACCAGTGAGAAGCATATTGAAATAATCAAGTCAAGAGAGAATAGTGGCATGGAACAGGATCTTAGCCGAGTTCACCATTGAATAGAGGTAGATGCGTGCTTTGTTTTTGAGATGAATGAGGCCAGATTTGGCGTTTGACTGACCTTGAAGGGTAAAGGAGAGGTTGAAGTTAAAGAGAACACCTAAGTAGCAAGCCTGCAAGGTGAAGCTGATAGTGGTGACATTGACTTGGAGGGAGTAGTAACACTTGAGGGAGGAAAAACAACAAAATCTATTTTAGACAGGTTACGTTTAAGGAAGTAATCAGCCATTTAGTTAGAAATAGCAGAGAGGCAGTCTGAGACATGGAATAAAGAGGGATGGCAAGAGATCAGGAGAGGACAGATAGATTTAAATGTCATCTGCATAGGAATTATATTGGAAGCCAAAGCTGATAGGTATACCAAGGAAGGCATTGTAGATTGAGAACAGTAGGGGACCAAGGACCGAACCTTGAGGAGAACCACAGAGAGGGGTCGCAGAGAAGATGCAGACCCAGAGAAAGAAACATTGAAATAGCTCTGGTTGAAGTAGGAGGAGAACCAGGAGAGAGCAGTGTGCAACCAGGAAAGAGATCTCTCTCTATTCTCTCTCCTTTTATTACCAATACTTCCCCCAACCCCACTCCCTCCGCTGTTCTATGCTCACTCACACCCACTATGCGAGAAAAAGTCTGCTCTGCAATTTCTCTTTGGTCTTCTCACCTTATCACTGGTTCCCTCTGATCTCATTTGCACTCTGTCTCCTTCGCTTGCTCTGCCCCTCACAAACATTGTTCAATTCATTCAATCTTGTCTTCTCCTCTGGCATATTTCCTTCATCCTTCAAGCATGCAGTCGTACCTGATTTCTTTAAAAAAAGAAAAAAAAAAGAAAAAGAAGACCAACCTTGACCCTAACTCTCCATCCAACTTTCGCCCTCCTCACTACTATTGTTTGCCTCCAAGATCCTTGAAAAAGTTGCGTGCAGGGGATTGACCAACTTACTTAAATCCGACTCTCTGCTTGACCCACTTCAGTCTGGATTCTGCGCTCGCCACTCTGTTGAAATGGCTCTGACCAAAGTATCCAATGATTTATTTGCTTTCACATGTAGCGGTCACTACTCTGTTCTAATTCTTCTTGACCTTTCTGATGCTTTTGATCATCAACAACTTAAAACGTGTATTGTAAGAGGAAAGCTGTTTTTTGGGACAAGCATCACAGCCCCATGAGTTGTTAAACATAATACAAAGCAGGAGAAAATCCTTGGGTTACTTCTTTTTATCCTGCTTAGCACAGTGGGAGTGTCGTGAGCAAATTTAAGCTTGGCATTGTCTCATGTGCATAGGTGCACTTTTGATGAAAAATAACTTTAAAGAAACTATTTAGAAGATATTTACACAACGTTTTGTTAATGTACATTTTTAATCCTGGGATTTCCTAGGTGTGTGTTTTGAGATTTTATGCTAACATAAGTCTAGCAACTTATTTTTTGGGGTGTTCTTTCACTTTTTAAATAATTTCTTTAACAATATTTGTTTTAAGCAAATAGTAATGCAAACGGTGTAATCATTGGTAGTGGATTTATTGGTGATGGAAGTGTAAAATACATGATTCAAATTTATACTAATAATCATATCTGCCAAGGGTTTAGTTGGTTTTCAAACTTTATAGACACTTTTTTTTTAACCACTGCCAAAAATAGCCAATTTTAAGTGACCATAAATGTTTTTTGTTATTTTAGCTGATAAAATAATGTAACTTTCTTCCTTATGGCATCTTTCAGTATTTTATATTAAAATGTGGTCATATAATATGTTACCTATATCATATGCAGGTCATTCTGTATTAGTTATTACAAGTTATTACATTTAACATTTAGTTTCCATATTGCTGTATAACAACGTTTTACATATGTTTTTTTTTACAAATCCTGCCTATTTGAATTTCAGTAGAAGTTGTGTCCAGCTTTGTCCAGGTGAGAATTTGGTGACTTCCTGAATCATCAGATTCTGATTTACTAGATTTTAAGAATTCTCCTAATTGCAAAAGCTTTCAATAGTAAAATGAATTACTTTCCATAAACTAATTTTTGTTCCTAGAGTATAGCTCAACTAACACCTACCATAAAAAATACAAAATTTCCATCCTTTCTGGAAGACCACAATTTATTTCCTTAAGTAAACTTTCAACTAAATAAAAATAAAGACAACCAAAATATAAGGAAAAAAAATAATGAATTTCTTTAAAATCAATATTACATTTAAATTGTTTTTGCATGTGGCTTATTGACTTGCTAATCAAAGCTTTGTTTTCTGACATCTTGCTATTTTCTGTTAATCCTGCACAATTTCTGAAGGGGTGGGGGTTAAAATATAAGCATAATATAACTAATCTAACAATACAAATCCACTCCTATCTGCATTCTTACTGTCTGTCACATGGATGATTGCAATTTAGGCATCCAAAAGATTATTATGTTGTCATTGTTTATTTAAATTTTGTTTTCAAATATAAAAGTGTATTTTTCTTAATGCCCTGTTTATGTGCTATATAAATCCACAAGTAGATAAAAACAAGGCAACTGAAAGCTAAGTTTGTTAGACCTCTATTTATCAATAATCTTATGATTTATATAATTTGGCAAATTTGAATCCACACTTTACAAACTGGGTGTTTATTAAAAAATATTATTGCTATTTACAAATTCTACATTTTTTTTAAATAGAAGGTAGAAAAAGGCAACCAGCAACTTAGGCTGTGTTTTATGTATAATTTTTACTTCTCTTTGCAAAAATAAAAAAGCATTTCATTGTGTATTGTAAGCAAGCTAAATTCTAAATTTACAGTAAACAACTGTCAAAATTAACTGTTTTTTGGATGTGCTTTTTAGTGAGCTTTAATGGAACACTCTGGATCCTAAAGCACTTTAGCTTGCTGAAATGCTTTGTGTGAAGAATGTGTTCGCCGTTTTTCATTTTACAAAGAAATACAGAACTCAAAAGCCACCCCCTGGCTTTCAAGTAGACACTCCCTGGCTTAGTTAGCTCAGTGGAGTTAAAGAACCACTATAGGCACCCAGACCACTTCAGCTCAATGAAGTGGTCTGGGTGCCAGGTCCATCTACGGTTAACCTTGCCTGCTGTAAACATAGCAGTTTCAGAGAAACTGCTATGTTTACAAATGGGTTAATCCAGCCTCTAGTGGCTGTCTCATTGACAGCCGCTAGAGGCGCTTCCGCGCTTCTCACTGTGATTTTCACAGTGAGAAGACGGCAGCGTCCATAGGAAAGCATTGACTGGCTGAATGCGCGCGCTGGAAAAAAGGTAAGGGATTAACCCCTTCCTCCCCCTAGAGCCCGGCGGGAGGGGGGCCATGAGGGTGAGGGGGACCCAAGGACCCTATAGAGCCAGGAAAACAATTATTTGTTTTCCTGGCACTATAATGGTCCTTTAACCCCTTAAGGACACATGACATGTGTGACATGTCATGATTCCCTTTTATTCCAGAAGTTTGGTCCTTAAGGGTTTAAGAGCGTTGCTCAGAGCACTTGCCTCGCAAAGACTTCTCATTGAGCTGCATTGGGATTCCAGAAGGATATTGATACTTTGGAGAGAGTTCAGAGAAGGGTAACAAACCCTGGTTCATGGACTGCAGGGTAAAACTTACCAGGAAAGTAGAAGAATTGATCATATTAAATGGGTTTCTAAGCCTTCTATAAGTTGAGGTTGTCATCACTCACCCTGAGTACTTTACTGTATTGTTATTATTACAATGCTGCTTTAAAGGACCACTCTAGGCACCCAGACCACTTCAGCTTAATGAAGTGGTCTGGGTGCCAGGTCCCTCTAGGATTAACCCTTTTTTTTTTTATAAACCTAGCAGTTTCAGAGAAACCGCTATGTTTATAAATGGGTTAATCCAGCCTCTAAAGCCTCTAGTGGCTGTCCCATTGACAGCCTCTAGAGGCGTTTGCGTGCTTCTCACTGTGAAAATCACAGTGAGAAGACGCCAGCGTCCATAGGAAAGCATTATGAATGCTTTCCTATGAGACTGGCTGAATGCGCGCACAGCTCCTGCCGCGCATGCGCATTCAGCCGAAGAGGAGGATCGGAGGCGGAGAGGAGGAGGAGGAGGAGAGCTCCCCCCCCCGGCATTGGAAAAAAGGTAAGTTTAACCCCTTTCCTTGCCATCCAGCCCGGCGGGAGTGGGACTCTGAGGGTTGGGGCACCCTCAGGGCACTATAGTGCCAGGAAAACGAGTATGTTTTCCTGGCACTATAGTGGTCCTTTAATTTGAGTGATTTGTTATATAATTAATTTATATATTTACATAGTTACGTAGCTGAAATGAGACGTGTCTATCAAGTTCAGCCACTCTCACATTTGATTTTTGGACCTTTGTGATTTAACTGTCAGGATGAGGAAAGGATTCTTAAACACAATGTGTCTTAAAAAAAACCACAAAAAAAAACCAATTGGTTAAAATTATCAACTTTGGTATAATGACTACAAGCACTTATGAAAGTACTTAGTTTCTGATCATTGTTACAAGTCTGCTAAATGGTGGAGGGAGTTAAATGGTGACAACAGTCAGTTTTATTGTAACATGCATTGATAACACTAAGTTCCCAAAAGCCCTTAACATTTTATTTTGTAAAATGTCTGTGGATGCAGATGTAACTCCACATTTGTAAGTGTCACTGCTCATGTGAGTAAATATGCCTGGAGACTCCATAAAACCACTGCTCTGGGGATGTACAAATTTAAATATAGGTGCTTAGTAAATCCCAGAGCTCCAATTAATTTAAGCATGATACATTTAGGCGCATTGTAGTATTAGCAGTAAATAGAGCAGGCACTCTGCCAGTCATTGTTTTTCTTCTGCCTACATATCATTTAGTCTCATTGTTTAAAACAAGTCTAATTTGCATTTCATTCCAGAATGGCATGAAAGGAATCCCAATGTTTGCTTGTTGATTATTGGACCAACGGTGAGTAAGATTTTATTGGAAAAAAATATATATTGTTCTTTAATATGTGTTCTTATACTGGATGGAGAGTATAAACAAATATGTTGGGTAGTACACCTGTAGTGATGGCTAAAGTATTTAAGTATTTTTTATTTATTTATTTTTTTATTCTTTATTCGTAAAGATTTTGTTTGGGGGGAATACAGAAGAGAAACTTTGGGGTGGGGTCAAAGGTAGTGATATCAGGTTTACAAAGCATAAATCATACATAGGTTTTTATGATATTCATACGTTTCAGTCCATCGTTGCTTTCAGGTTGTTGGTGTGTAGGGTCAGAGGTGGGGGGGGGGGTCGTCATTTGCGAACCGTTGTTGGTTGTAGTGAGCCTTTGTGGTGTTAGGGCAAAACCTCTGTGTGCTTGGTCTTAGTTGGAGTTACCCCTGGCGGTTTGTTCTTTGCATGAGGGCTGGGGTACCTCCCCAGATTGTGTGTGTTTTCACAGTGGGTGGTCTTGATGTGCGATGTGAATTGTTGAATAAGGTATGTCTTTAGGGTAGGTCTTCCTTCGGTGTTCTGGTTTTGCCTCGTGGTTTGGTGTCATGTGTGCCCGTTTTGTAGTCAGTTAGTGTGTGTATGGTGGGTTTGTGTGTGTGTGTAATATGTTGGGTCATTCTTATCTGTTGGTGTTCGTCTATGAGTGTTCGGTGGGCTCCCTGCCATGGTCTGGTCGGCACGGGTTTGAGTATGTGCATTGTGGTTATGGGGGGTTTTGGGTGTGGATCCTGAGTGTGGGGGGGTAAGGGGGAGTATCAGATGGGGGTCAGGTATTGAGAGAGGTAGTGTGTGGGGGGGTTCCACTGGGCGGTCGCCACTTCCACAAAATCTGGGATCCCTGGATCACAAGGCACCTACGCGTGGTGGGGGCGGGCGGGCGACCGCCCAGTGGAACCCCCCCACGCGTAGGTGCCTTGTGATCCAGTTATCCCAGATTTTGTGGAAGTGTTTTGTTGTTTCGTGTAGGCTGGCTGAGAGTTTGTCCATTTTCATGGTTTCTGTGGTTTTCTGGATCATTATCTCTAGTGTGTGTGTGTGGTTTGGTTGCCCCATTGTTCTGCTATTGTGCATCTAGTGGCTAGTGCTAGTTTCGCCACCAGTTTGTTTTGTGCCCTCGCTAGTGTGGGATGGGGCTTAGATAGGAGCCATATCCATGGGTCCAGGGGTATATCTTCGTGTAGTATTCTAGAAGTGAGGTTAGCGACCTTGGTCCAGAGTTGAGAGCTATGTGGATGTAGGTACCTTGCTGTCCGCATCCTTTCCAGCAGGTGTCTGTGGTAGCTATCTTCATTTGTTTTAGTCTCAAAGGTGTCAAGTACCATCTGTTCATTGTTTTATATGCCTGTTCTTTGTGGTTTGTGCATATTGTGAGGGAGGCTGTAGCTTTCCAGATGTCTAACCAGTCCTAGGGGTCCTCTAAGGGGCCTATGTCTCTTTCCCATGCTCTTGTGTAGGTGAGTGCATTTGTTGGGGAGTTGGAGGTCAGGTGGGAGTAGCTTGTCGAGATCTGTCCCTTGTGAATGGGGGATTGTAGGCAGATTTTTTCAAAATGGGTGAGTTTTTTGTTGGCTGTCTCTATGTTTTGCGCTTCATTCAGGAAGCTGCGAAGTTGTAGATAGCGGAATTGATCGAAGGTGTTTAGTGGTACTTTGCGTGGGAGTTCTAGGAACGGTATTAGTTTCTGGTTGTGGAAGAAGTTAATGTATTTTATCAGTCCATTATCCTCGTATCGTGAGAAATCTTGGGGTGACATGCCGGGGGGGAAGCGTTTGTTTCTCAGGATTGGCGTGAGCGGTGAGGGAGAGTTTATTATGGGGTGTCGTGTTGTGGTTGTGTGGCTAAAGTATTTTTACTGCACAAATAAACAGATCTGTTCACCACTGCAGCCCAACCCATGACTTACTTGCAGGAGTAAATGTTGAAATTTTTTGGGAGACATTTGTTCTCAGGCAAAAATAGTGGAATGCATTTACTTAAAGGACCACTATAGTGCCAGGAAAACATACTGGGCTGGGGGAGGAGGTGCTGGGCGGAGAGCTCTCTGCCTCCGATCCTCCTCCGTTCCGCCCCGTCAGCTGAATGCGCACACGCGGCAAGAGCTGCGTGCGCATTCAGCCGGTCTCATAGGAAAGCATTCATAATGCTTTCCTATGGACGCTGGCGTGCTCTCACTGTGATTTTCACAGTGAGAAGCACGCAAGCACCTCTAGCGGCTGTCAATGAGACAGCCACTAGAGGATTTGGGGTTTCTCTGAAACTGCTATGTTTATAAAACAATGGGTTAACCCTAGCTGGACCTGGCACCCAGACCACTTCATTAAGCTGAAGTGGTCTGGGTGCCTAGAGTGGTCCTTTAAGCACATTAATGGTCAGTTTAAAAAAAAATAAAACATCTTTTTTTGTTGTGCATAAGTGGTACAATTCAGCCAGTACCACCACAACACCGGTAATTGTGACTACCAAATTTACATAGCAAAAACTGTTGTATGGCATTTCTAGAAACTGCACAATTTTAGGTATTAAAATAACAAACTAATCTCAAGTTAGGTGAGACAGGTAAAAATTTAAACAAGAGACTCAACATGTCATGGATGCTGCTAGTTTTGGAAGATAGATTTTAAAGTTACATGTTTAATATCAAGTAGGGTTGAAACTAGAACTTGTATATATAATTACGTTGGGAATGGGCTATGCATTCAGAGCAACCTTGACCACTAAAAAATTAAGCCACTAGAGGACAAGTAAACGAGTTATAGGGTTTAGTTTTTGAGACTTGTTGTGACCTGTGGACCTAGTGTATGCTTTAAGCGGATATGTCTCATAAAAAAATGAGAAAATAAGGAAAAAGTTATCCCCTGAGCACCGAGGGGATGGGGTTCTGACTATGCAGTGGAACTATGTAGGTTATACAAATATCAGTGGAACAAAATACAATGATACCAGGATACTGGAATACATCAATCAGGAACATAATGGGACAGTAGTCTTCACAATGTAAAGGTTCCTCTCAAGTAAGAGGTGTTTGGACAGTCTCTGCCTGTGTCCGTTGCAGAACAGGGCACGAAGCAGACAAAATTTGTAACGTCCCACGAACATCCAGCGATGTGATCGGGACTAGTAGGCCGAGCGAGCCCCAGACTTTTCAGGAAGTAGCTGGAGTCTTCGGGCGAGGTAAGTTGGAGGGTGGTGTCTTGTCTCCCTTGGTGGCTAAGAGGATGTGGGATGGCCCCCACCTGTACCTGATGCCGGCTTGTCAAAGGGTCAATGTTACCCAATGAACTGAGTGCCTCCAGTCTAGTGTGGCTTTACATAAGTCCTGCAGGATAGCTAATTGCATCTCCTCAAATTTGAAGGGGCTCTTATCTTTAAGTGCTTCCACAACCAGCATTTTATAGGTTGTATGAGATGCAGGATAGTTGAGAGTAGGCGCTGGAGGAAGTGTGGGAGCTCTCTGTCTCAGTCATCTATTGATCCAGCTATCAGGAGGTTTATTATGTCTCCCTTAGTAGCTGGAACCCCCATGTCACCCAAGGACACAGTGGCAAACAGATTCCCGACTTCAGGTAGGTTGGGGCATCAAGAGGTTCCTCCTCCGAGGATTAGTTGTGGAAGTCTGGTATGACTGCCATCTTAGGAGTAGATCCCCAATCCTCCTGTTACTGTCTCCCAGGTAGATTTTTAGTTTCTTTGACCTCTTCCCCATAGTGTAACACGGGTCAAGCATGATCGCGTGCAGCGGACAGAAGAAGGTCACCGGCAGAGGAGAGAGACCAAGAAGGAACATATGTATGAATCAGTGAAGAAATGTAACAGGGGCTAGAGTTGTTTAAAACTTTATAGGTAAGGGTTAGTATTTTGAATTGACACCTATAGGATACAGGAAGCCGGTGTAAGGATCGACAGAGGGGCGAGGTATGGGGGAGCGACAGGTAAGAAAGATCAGGTTGGCAGCAGCATTCATTACAGATTGTAGCGGGGCAGTTCGGCTTCTGGAGGTGACCAACGAGGAGAGAATTACAGTAATCTATCTATAGATTACCAGAGCATGAACAAGCTCCTTGGCAGCATCTTGTGTGAGAAAGGGGCGGGAGAAAGTGAAAAATAGAAGGGAGAACATTATTAAGAGAATAGATGCTGTGCTATTTTGATATGGAGAGCTGCTAAAATGGCAGTTAGGAAGGAGGTGAGTATTTTGAAAACTGTAAGAAGATTTTCAGTAATTATAAAACAAAAGATGAGGTTACAATAAAATTTACATTTCATCAACTGGTTCACCTTAAATGGACACCCCAGGCCCCTAAAACACTTTGCTGAAAAGCTTTATGTGTGAAGAGTGTGTACTATGTTAATTTTTTTAAATAAGTGCCAATTAAATATTAATACTTTTATAAATTAACCTATTTACACCACCCCAGGCAGTCGATAAGACAACTGGTCCGTTTACTCCCTGGTCTGGTAAACTCAATGCAGCTAAATTTAAGCGGAAGCAACTGCCAAGAGCACTTGTCTTGCAAAGACTTCTCATTGAGCTGCAATGGGGAGTCTATGATTGGACAGTCATAGAAAATCTGGGCGGGGTTAGAAGGGAAGGGCTTGTAAAGCTGCAGACAAGAGAACTGCAGGTTTTGCAAGCTGGTTTTTAGATATAGCTCCAATAAAAATGCATAATTACATTTGTGCAAGTTTTCATTTGGGGTATATCTACTAAACAGAGATTTGTATTTATTTGTATTTAAGCAGTAAAGTGTCCCTTTAAAGAGTTACTCCAAGCACCATGACCACTTGATTTGAAGTGATCATGGTGTGTGGAGTCTATATCTGCAGCATTTTGCTTTGAAATGCAGCACATGCAAAGGTATAAATTCACCACCATCAGCCAGACCGGGACCAAAGTTTCAACCATGGCTAATGTCAATTCTGTGCAACTTTTTTGCAAAGAGTTGCATTCATTGGCTGAGAGCGGTTAGCCAGTGAATGGCGACGGCCACTGCTTTCAATTTCTGCAACTCTGTAGAAGGTGGAAACATGTCACTGGATGACCAAGGATCATTGGAGCCTGCTAGGGACCCAGGTAAGGGGGCAAACAAAAATTGCTGTGGTTGTTATGATGTTTGGAATAACCCTTTAAAGAGACACTATAGGCACCCAGACCACTTCAGCTTATTGAAGTGATCTGGGTACATTGTGCCAGTAACCCTGAGTTCTGCAATGTAAATTATTGCAGTTGTTCAGACAGCCACTAGATACACTTCCTGCTTGCTAGGTGACGCATGGTCGCCTAACTGGCTCTGGAGGTCCTCATGCTCTGCATAAGGACAAACCATGCCGTTCAATCCCCATAGGAAAGCATAACAGCAACGCTTCCCTGGGGATGGCCTAATGCGCTTTTGGTGCTCGCCGCACGTGTGTATTAGCCCCCACCCCGCCGTTTGATTTTGGAGGAGGTGGAGTGCCGACCCGGTGCCAAGGGAGATCGGCACTGGAATTGGGAGATATTAACCCTTTCAGATATGGGGGACGGGCTAGAGGGAACTATAGTGTAAAGAATACAGTTTTTTATTCCTTACACTATAGAAACCCTTTAATGGCTGCATGTGTTCAAGCAGGGCTGTATTTGCAGCGAGGCAAACAAGGCATTTGCCTAGGGCGGCACTTTATGGGGCACATACAATAGGCGGGCGGCGAGGGTCGCGCAGTCCTCTGAGCTCTTCCTGCTCCCTCACGCGCCCTTCTTTGGTGCCGGGAGCCGGAATATGACGTCACTCCTACCCTGGCAGATCACGAGGGAGCAGTACTCAGTTCCCTCAATTGAGCACCTGCCCATCCGCCCAAACAAGGAGCCCGCCCAGCTGCAGTCAGGGACAGGATCCACTCCAGCTCTCCCAAAGGTAGGGAGGCTGGGTGGATTTAATTAATAAAACATTTTTAAAAAATGAGTGAGTGAGTGTATGAGAAAATGTGTGTGTAGCTCTCAGTGTCTGTGTGTGAATGTGTGTGTCTGTCAGAGTGTGTCAAATCAGTGAGGATCTTTGTGTCAGTGAGTGTATGTCAGTGTTTGTCTATCTGATAGTGTGTGCATGTCAGTTAGTGGGTGTGTCAGTTTGTGTCTGTCAGTGAAAGTCTGGGTTGCTTAAACAGTGTGTGTGCCAATGACTGTGTGTGCCAATGACTTTGTATCTGTTGGTGAGTGTATGTCAGTGCATGTGTCAATGAGAGCATGCATCTGTCAGTCAAAAAAGTGGCTTTGATACAAAGTGGTGGGGCAAATTTTGATTAGGGGGGTACTTAAATTTAGTCAGGACTAGGGCAGCACAAATCCAGAATACACCACTATATACAAGTAAATCATGCTCATTTCTATTTGAAGTCACTGCAAATACCAAATAGTAAGCACACATATACTATTACTGTTGACTCTGACTAAACAAAAGTTTTTTTTTGGAGAGATTGGGAGGAGATAAAACAAATTATTTTCTTCCATGTTTATATGTATAGAAGGATGTAAAACAGTCTTAAAACCCTCTTCATTGTGCTCTCCAGTAAATATAGAGCATGGAATATCACGTAAGGATTATGATGTACTATTACAAGCCATCCTGCAATTTATTTTGTCTTTGTTTTGTTATGCTTCTCTGCTTTTGGTTACATTTTTCTTTAAACAAAGAATTTACAAGAAAGATTTAAATATGATTTTCCTGTCTGGTCATTTCAGTATGCCAAGTCAAATTTCTCAACATATGTTTTCATTATGAAATATAGAATATCCAATTTTCTCTTTGCATTTCTTTCCACGCCACTACACAAAAAGATTTAAAAGTGAAGTGGCGTGGAAGATAAATGGAAGAAGGTACAGTAGTTTTACTGCTTTGGATCAGTATAATACGCTTACTGACTAAATAATCATTCTAGGGATTTGCTTTGTCTGTTGGAATTTTTCCTTGTATGTTTAAATAAAGTGTATTTCTACAAATGCTTGTTATATATGACACTTTTGTTCCAATGTACCTTATCTTGTTCTTTATCTAAAAAGAGACACTAAAAGTGAGATTGTAACCTTGGATATAGTACCATCAATTTAAGCAAATATGCCATTTTGTTTATATAATGATTTGAGGTATTCAGTGGTAGCCAAAAATAGATCCCTAACTGTTGAAATACTACAACTCATTCAATGTTTTGTTGGCATTAAGACCGACAGAGCATCATGACAGTTTTAATTCTACAACTGTTCTATTCGTGTAGTTTAGATCAATTATAGCTGACCTGCACTGCATCGTAACTGCACTATCTGTTACGCAAAGACAGTCAATTAGAAGTAATTGATAGGTATAAACTGATCAGCCTCAAAATTAAAACCACTTGCCTATTATCATGTCTTTCCCTCTCGTGCTGTCCAAAACAGCTGATGTGTCTTAGAATGGACTCCACAAGACCTCTGAACATGTCATGTGGTATTTGGTACCAAGACATGAGCAACAGATCAATTAAGTTCTGCATGTTGCAAGGTTCCATTATCTGATAACCAAGATTTTCCTTTTGGTTACTGTGGTATTTGAGGCTCTTGTTCCCAAAACATATCCCCATTGTTCCATATCTACCAAGCATCACTCATATTTAATAAAATACCAAAATTTTCCCTCTTCAGAAAGCTAGTGGGTAACAACAGTTTTACCCCTTTGGCTCCTTATCGATACACCCAACTACTCAATTTTGTGCACTCTCTCTCCACATCAGTCTCACTATTATTGGAACCCTAAAGGACCACTCCACACCCATAAAGTACATTAGCTTGTTGGTGTATCTGATTGGCCTTGAAGAGACTAAAGGTCTCTTCCGGGGAACAAGGGATGGGTTTGCATCATCATAAGAACTGCAGCTTTTCAAAGGTCATTTAAGAAATGCATCCAATGAATACGTGAGCCAATCTAATTAGAGCATCTGTTCATATCTCTCTATATTTACTACACACAAGTCGCTTAATTCTATATTCTCATTCACCACTGTCCATGTTCTCGGGTTTTCTTATACACATATTTAGATTTTGCATGTATTCAATCCAACATATTTCATGCTTGGTAATACCACTGATGTTTTTCAATAAAAAGATTGTACACAAGAACTGGGAAATCAAAACAATTAAATGGGTTTGCCATATGCTTTTGCTTTGGATGGATGCCAATATTTATTTTATTAGCTTTTGTGGGCAGATAAATCTCTACTGGATTGTGTCAAGTGAATTCTGATTTATATTATTATTATGATTCCTTATAATTCTTTAAAAACAACATATCCTGTATATTTTCAGGTTGATCCAGTGTTTACACAAGAGGTGAAAAAGAAACTAGAACAGTAAGTGATTGATAGCACCATTTTTTCTTCCAAATACAGATTTTCATTTGAAGAATTCAGAAGGAATATAGGGGAAATGGAGGAGGAGAATGGGAGAGTTGGGCTTAGAAGAAAAGCTGTGAATTGGGCTAGACCTGGAGTCGTCGTGAGATATGTGAGAGGGCCTCCTAAACAGCCCCATATTTTCTGAAAAGCATTGAATGATCAATATTTTTTTCTTTTTGAAATGCTATGGTTTTGTAATTTTAAAGGAGCACTATAGGGTCAGGAACACATACATGTATTCTTGACCCTATAGGGTTTACACCACCATCTAGCCACCCTAGGCCCCTCATGCCTCCCTAAAAATATTAAGTCTGGAGCTGCAGGCTTTGTCCCTGTTTCCTGTAGACCTGCCCACTGCCTGCTGACATCATCAGACGTGGTGGACTGATCCAATCACAATGCTTCCCCATAGGATTGTCTGAGACTGACAAAGAGGCAGATCAGGGGCAGAGCCAGCACAATTCAAACACAGCCCTGGCCAATCAGCATCTCCTCATAGAGATGAATTGAATTAATGACTGCATGCAGAGGGTGGAGACACTGAATGTTTGGATGCATTTTAGGCAGCCATGACCCAGGAAGGATCTCTTACAGCCATCTGAGGAGTGGCCAGTGAAGTTATCACTAGGCTGTAATGTAAACACTGCATTTTCTCTGAAAAGACAGTGTTTACAGCAAAAAGCACGAAGGTAATGATGCTACTCACCAGAACAAATTCAATAAGCTGTAGTTGTTATGGTGACTATAGTGTCCCTTTAAATTGTAATGAGTGTGATTTTTCTTTTTTCCCCCCTTCCTTTTTTTCTGTCTTTCATACCATTTCCCTCATTACTGTAAATCTAATAATATTTGCACATTTATGTTATCACTGTCAGGGGAGACAGCCATTTTTTACTATAACAATGTTTGTTCTATCAGACTTGTTTTGTAAAGTCATAAATGAGCATGTGTCTCATAAAGAGCCACTGAACCTTTTTAACTTTGAATTCTTCAATAGAAGTCAATATTAAAAACAAAATGAACCCTGAATGAAGATACAGAATCTCAATTCCAGCTACTGCTGGCAGATGAACTTAAACTTTAATTTGCTCTGTAGGTATGAGTGTGTGAATAGGTGTCTGTGACTGTGAATGTGTGTCTATTTAAAAACAATAACTATTAAGAAATATATGAATTTACCTTAAAGGAGCAATATACAGTTGCAAGAAAAAGTATGTGAACCCTTTGGAATGATTTGGATTTCTGCAAAAATTGGTCATAAAATGTGATCTGATCATCATCTAAGTCACAACAATAGACAATCACAGTTTGCTTAAACTAATAACACACAAAGAATGAAATGTTGCCATGTTTTTATTGAACACACCATGTAAACATTCACAGTGCAGGTGGAAAAAGTATGTGAACCCTAGACTAATGACATCTCCAAGAGCTAATTGGAGTGAGATGTCAGCCAACTGGAGTCCAATCAATGAGATGAGATTGGAGGTGTTGGTTACAGCTGCCCTGCCCTATAAAAACACACACCAGTTCTGGGTTTGCTTTTCACAAGAAGCATTGCCTGATGTGAATGATGCCTTGCACAAAAGAGCTCTCAGAAGACCTACGATTAAGAATTGTTGACTTGCATAAAGCTGGAAAGGGTTATAAAAGTATCTCCAAAAGCCTTGCTGTTCATCAGTCCACAGTAAGACAAATTGTTTATAAATGGAGAAAGTTCAGCACTGCTGCTACTCTCTCTAGGAGTGGCTGTCCTGTAAAGATGACTGCAAGAGCACAGCGCAGACTGCTCAATGAGGTGAAGAAGAATCCTAGAGTGTCAGCTAAAGACTTACAAAAGTCACTGGCAAATGCTAACATCCCTGTTAGTGAATCTACAATACGTAAAACACTAAACAAGAATGGATTTCATGGGAGGATACCACAGAGGAAGCCACTGCTGTCCAAACAAAACATTGCTGCACGTTTACAGTTTGCACAAGAGCACCTGGATGTTCCACAGCAGTACTGGCAAAATATTCTGTGGACATATGAAACCAAAGTTGAGTTGTTTGGAAGGACAATGACCCAAAGCATAGAAGTAAATCAACAACAGCATGGCTTAAACAGAAGAAAATATGCCTTCTGAAGTGGCCCAGTCAGAATCCTGACCTCAACCCGATTGAGATGCTGTGGCATGTCCTCAAGAAAACGATTCACACCAGACATCCCAAGAATATTGCTGAACTGAAACAGTTCTGTAAAGAGGAATGGTCAATAATTACTCCTGACCGTTGTGCACATCTGATCTGCAACTACAGGAAACGTTTGGTTGAAGTTATTGCTCCCAAAGGAGGTTCAACCAGTTATTAAATCCAAGGGTTCACATACTTTTTCCACCTGCACTGTGAATGTTTACAATGTGTGTTCAATAAAAACATGGCAACATTTCATTCTTTGTGTGTTATTAGTTTAAGCAGACTGTGATTGTCTTTTGTTGTGACTTAGATGATGATCAGATCCCATTTTATGACCAATTTGTGCAGAAATCCATATCATTCCAAAGGTTCACATACTTTTTCTTGCAACTGTAAGCCACATAAACACTACAGCTCATTGTAGTGTTTTTTTGTGCTAGAAGACTGCAGTTGCCACCCCCTGGTTATGGGTCAGTCTTGGGGTTGGCAGGGCATCCACAGCACCAACAAGTCACTTTTCTCTCCACATTGTCAGGGCCGTCTTTAATATTGACTGGACCCTGGGCAAAGCATTTGCTTGGGCCCCCTGGACCCTGTTCCCCTCCCCAGGCGTCCAATAACGTCCTCCACCCCAACGCAGTGGCGGACCTAAAGTAGAGAGGTGCAAGAATTTGTTTTGGGTCTCCCTATCGCACGGGTGATTAAAAGGTAGATCCCTATATGTCGTGCAACTCCAGAAGTGCATTAGCAGCTGGGGCTTTACCATTTACCCATGGTTTGCAGGTTTGTATTTAGCACTAAGTAGTTTTTGTGTGTTTGAATGTAAACAGGTTTTTGTATGGAATATGTTTGTATGTGGTGTTGACGTGACTGCAAGCATGTATTTATGTGAAGTGTTAGTTTTTGAATGCAGGGGTGTATTTACATATAATTTTGGTATGTAATACAGACGTGTGTTTTTACATAGTATTGAAGTTTGAATGCAGGGATGTATTTGATTGTAGTGTTAGTGTGTGAATGCTGAGATATATACATACTCAAATACATGCAGACACACAGATATACAGACACATATACACACAGATACACAACCGGACACACATGGAAATTCAGACACACACACATAGATACACCAAAACACACAAATACAACATACAGATATACACACATATAATCACACTAACACAAACAGATATACTGGCACATATAGAGACATACTGACACACACACACACACCCACGCACACAGACATAATGACGCACAATGACAGACATACTGGGACACACACTGACAGGCATACTGACCCATACACTGACACACACACACTAACAGACATACTGACACACACAGAGATATACTGACTGTGAAGAAACTACCCTGTTTGGTTTGTTAAATTAGATTTTTTTTAGTTCGGTAGATAAAACTACCAAACACCAACCACTCCCTGGCTCATTATCTACAAAGGAAACCGCAGGATTAAGTGCTCTCCGTGCTCGGATAGCCGAACGCCACGTGTTGGAGAAAATGGCCGCTATCTTGTTTGCATGAAAAGAGGCAGCGGGACTTTGTCGTTGAGTGTCTGGAACTAAAATCGGACATTTGATTTCCCGAATGCCTGCTTCTTTTACCACAGCCAGGAGAGCGCTATTCGGTAGTTTTGTTCCCATGAATTAGGGGAACAAACGCTAAATATGAGCCAGGGGAACAGTTTGTGAATTTGATCGGTTTTTAGACTTCCCAAGATAGACTGACCGCTACCTCTGAAACTGTGGAACTATTTTTGGGCATAGAACCATGCGTGCGGTTGGTCAAATTATGACTTACAGGAAATTCCTGAACCCCTGAACTGATCTGGGTGATTTTTTGAATATGTTGGTGTGGATTTTGTGTGTTTAAATGTATGTTTGGGGTTTTGTAAAAATGTTTTTTGTGCCTAGAGTTAATTGAGTTTAATACAGTGCTGACTCAATTATCTCCTAGACACAGGGGGGGGATTAACCTATTTTGTATGGGAGTGTCCTGGACCTGAGAGCCAATGTAATCGTGTGTATGTTTTTACTGTAGTCTACTCTCAGGTTCAGGGGGAGTGCCCTTTGCATGGGGACCTGCATATAAGGCCAGTTGGCCTGAATAAAATCATTCCTGTTGTACCCTTCATCTTGTTGAGGCTGATGTTTTTGTATGTGTATGCTTACTGGGAGAAATTACTGAATACTGCATTGCCTTCTGGAGAACATCTGAACAAACACCCGAACTGCGAGCTATAATCACTCAGCATTTAGCAGTTCAGAAGCGAACGGGTATCTGACATACCAGCGTTCATAACACTGACAGACATACTGACCCACACACACTGACTGACATACTGACACACACACAGACTTTCCTGCTGGTGGCTGAAGGTGTTGGGAGTTGGGGTCTGGCTCTCTTGACCAGCCCCCCTCCACTCTGCCTACTCTTTTTTTTTTTTTCCCATGTGCGCTCCTCTCTTTGTGTGAGGAAGTGATGCGCGACCATTACTTCCATCCAGCCAGCTGCCGAAAAGCAAGGGGCCTGGTTTCACTTTTAAAGCGCCTCAGCATGCGACCAGGCCTCTGCTGACAAAATCCCCTTAGTGCATGGGGCACCCGGTGGGCCTCTTTAGTGTGCGGGTTACCGGCTGGGCGGGGAGGGCAGAAATGGTTGAGGCCAGCGGGGCCCACGGTGCAGATGCTTTGGGCCCCCAGGAGTAACTGGGCCCGCGTTAAAGACGGCCCTGTACATTGCTAAAGCGGATGTTCTCTTTTGCTTTAGCAAAATGAACTTGTAACGGAGCTCCAGGACTACCTCCGCCAAGTCTGCTTCATTGTAGCTATCAGGGACCCTGAAACACTTCAGACCCAGACGCCGAGGCTTGACTGGGATCACTTAGGGCCTTTTCCACCCTGGACCAAACACTAGACGACACGTGGTGAAGGTTAAACAGCAACTCTTTAATGACTACAGCACACATAGTTTAAGCCCCCAACAGCCTAACTTACATAGATTAGATTACTATAGTACAAGGAAGGGTGGGGTCAGACAATAGCAAGGGCTGATGGGAGATTGAAGAGGGACAGAGCAGCTAGATTAAACTGGTCTGGCAGTGTTCCTGGGACAACACCCTGCTGGAGAAACAATAGGACAGGAAAAAGGGGGGATGGGGATATGCACAGACCAGCAATACATTCAACATACACAAATAATAGGCACAATGTGACAAAACACAAAAGAAATTTGGGAGCCCATCCATAGTGTCTGTCTTTCATCCCCAGTGATGGTGACTACCGTCACATAACTTAATACATATTTGGATGGTATTGAGAGGCTAACAGGAATATGTACCCTTTCGGCACTCCAGATGTTATTGACTATATAGAATATTGCATATTCTATGTTTCTATTGATTATATATGGATGTGTGGATTGACATAAGTAACAGATGGTATCAATAAGTCACAAGGCTTTCTTTGTCCTAGAGCTCTGGAATGTGGATTTGGGGGTCTTGTCCTTATATGGCTAGAGTTATAGTCTGACGTCAGTATGGGCACTTCTATATAGTAACTGAACAAAGAGACACAAGGTCTCTTGGCTCTCTCTCGATGTAAGGATGTAACTCTCCCTTCAGGAGTCCAGCAATTACCATCTGCTGTTGAAATCCATTATCCTGTAACATCCTTTGTTGTTTTATTATGTATCCGTAACTAAGAATAAACCTGAAGAAACCGTAAGTGAGATTGCGTATTAGTACTTTTCATTAATATAGACATATATTAATTTTGCGAGCAAGTTTGGCCCAAGACTATATATACAAAAGACGTGTATATATATCAATCAACTGAAGACAAGAAGAAATTAAGAAGATTTAACATTATCGTTCCAAACTAGATTTTACAGACTACATCTCTCTTGATGCTTTGCCAGCATTATGACTGAAGAGGATTATGGGAGATGTAGTCCATAACATCTGGATGGCTGAAGAGTGTCTACCCATCAGCCGAGGCTTCCTCCATTAGTTTGGCTGTGTCATGGGTGCCTTGCAGTGGGGAGTGTCAGCTTAAAAAATATTTAACCTTTTGGAGCATCCACAGCCTACTTTCTCCACAACTACTAAAATGTAGTTGTTCTAGTGCTTAGACTGTCCCTTTAAAGGTTGAAAATAAAAAAGTAAAAAACATATTGTGAGATTACTATGCATGCAATATATACAATATGCAGAGACATCCCTAGGCTACATAGTGCTCGGGACAGAAACTGTAAAAATATTTTAAATAAAAAAAAATATATATTTAAAATGTTTTGTTTTTTTTTAATCAAAATTGTAAAATATATATATATTTTTTTTACCTTCAAATTGTATTTTATTGAAAAGATAACTAAACCTCTTCTTCTAGTACAAAAACAAAATACAAACCAAAAAAAACAAACTTTAATTGAATTTCTTGCTTTCAACTAGTTTTGTGATGTAGCTATTCTTCCTTATAAAGAAATGATTGATGAATTGTCCAGATAGTAACTGGAGTCTTAAAGAAATAAGAAGTTATATCTAAGGACATTTATTTCCTGAATGATACTTTCAATCATAAGAAACTTCAAACCGTTTGTTTTTTTTTTTCTCAGATTTTATTTGTTGTGTGTTCACCGATGAGGCAAAATAAATAAATTATGAACTCATGGTGGCAGCAATATTATAAATTGCTGTTTATATAATTAGTTGAAACAGAGTAGAAATTATTTTCTGTTGAAAAGTTCTAAAATCAGAGCAATCTCCAGAGTATAGAGTATATGGATTTCTGTAAAAACATACTTCTAAATAAATTTGTTTTTGATTTTTAAAGATCTTTGTTTACCTAGATATTTGTCAGTGTACATATGAATCACTTTTAAAATAAATCCCGGTATGTTTCAACCAATTCTTTCTGAAAATTTGAGTGTCCGTATGTTTATGACTTACCAGATAGTTAAAAATATATATTTATCCTCACTTCTGCTTTCTGTCTGGGTATACAGCCCTGCCACGCCTAGTCATTTCTAAAATGCTGTATGCGTGTGACTTGCCTTCTCAGAAACAATTCCGTGTCTGTCTCCAAAGCAAGTAACATGTACATTCTATAAAAAATATCAATTTAAAAAAAAAAAACAGGACAGTGTTATGCTGCACTTGTCAGAATCAATTCCAAAAAGTTTTATTACACTGAACATAATCAACTCTTACAACACACTTTTTTTTTTTTTTTCCAGCAATAATGGGGTTCATCTTATTGAGGAAATTCCTCAAGAAAATCTACAAGCCTTTATCAGATGCTGTTTTGCAATTGTAAACAGCTCTTTGTCTGAAGGGATGTCAGCAGCCATATTGGAGGTAGGAGGTTATATTAATAATTCATTTTAAAAAAATAATAATTGCTTGGGTGCAACTATCTCCCAGCATGCAATTAACACTATCGCTGTATGTGCAGTCTTTCAAGCTGAAAAACTACATATACATACTCCTACCACCTTGACCATTTCAAATCACTGACGTGGTCATGGTGGCTTGAGTAACCGTTTAAGCCCTTATGTTATTTCTCTAAAAAAATAAATACACGTCAAAACTCACAAGTTAGTTTTTTGTTTTTTTTTGGTTTATTATCATATGAAAGCAAAGCCATGATAATTGACCTGGACTCCCATGTGTATTTTAATATGAAGTCAATTAATACAACATATAATTCCCAGTGCACTCACTAACTTCAAAGTTCACAAAATGTAATATTTTAAAATTATTATAATAAACACCTGATGTATGTGTGTGTATATATATATATATGTATGTATGTATATATATATATATATATATATATATATATATATATATATATCTCTCAAAAATGAGAATCCAGTGCACTCTCTTATCTACTAAACAGCTACTTTGGTGCTGACCGATTTTGTTAGTTTTATTAAAACACTTAATCTAGGCAAAAAATTCTAATTTTTTTGCCTAGATTAGGTGTTTTTACTAAAACTAACAAAATCGGTCAGCACCAAAGTAGCTGTTTAGTATATAAGGGAGTGCGCTGGATTCTCACTTTTACTGTACTTATTGGCCCCCAGCAGATTAAAAAAAACTGCAATAATTACACTTGCAGGGTTAAGGGTGATGGGAGATGGCACCCAGACCACTCCAATTGGCAGAAGTGGCCTGGAGTGTCCCTTTAATTGCTCAATCCGCTGGCGTAAACGGAAAGACTTGCAAGACTACAGACAGACAGAAAAAAAATACATGCATGTTTTCTTTGGGCCATAATTTTAGATCAAAAATAACTAATGATTTGTAATGTACCTATAGCTGTATACTTTGCAAACTATTTATGTTAAATTCCATACACCACTACTTTTCTAGTACTCAATGTGACGTTCTATATTCCGTATTAGTCCGCTCAATTATTGTTGAAGTCAACTTGGCAACACAGAAATTCTCCTTTTGAAAAAATGTTCAATACTGGGCATAGTAAACCTTGTTATCCTGTAGTGTGTTTTTATAAACATCTCTGTAAATTCTGTGAGGCTGTCAGTTGTAGTTTATTTCCTATTCAGTGCAAAATTATGCAAAACCTCTTTTATTAAAATAAATTGCAGAATTATAAAAAATGAATATGGGCGGAACAAAACGTAAGAGCCCTAAAACACACACAGAAGGAAGCAAGACACGCACCCTGAACTTACACACACAGAGCTAGACAAATCAACTAGAGAACGTAACATAAAGTAAGGACCACCTAGCTCGCCGCACTGATCAGAATACTTCTACCTATTAAGCGAAGGCAAACTCGTCTGATAAAGACTAGAGGAGAAACTAGAGATGAGGGCCTGACGCAGACAGCACCTCTGTTGGGCAGGATTAAACATAAAACATGCCCTGACACTTAGCTAGGAGTTACGGAACGCATCCAACCCCAACTGGATAATCATTGACTTCCCACAAAACACACAGACCATAATCACGAACGGACAGCCCAAGCTTTGTTTAACCGACACAAAAAGAGTAGCACTAAGCGCACAAGTAACCAGTTGGGGAACACCAAGCCATCTCTAGCAGTGAACCCAGTACAAAAACACCAATCAGATGAATCCCGGAAGCCACACGCGCTATGCATAAGCCTACAGAACTAGTCTGTAGTGACAACTCTAACACCGACCTCATTACACACTACGACTCATGCGAAGTGTCCGGTATTTGTGAATATGTCTATTGATTTAGGAATGAAGTTGTAAATTGAAAATACACATATGCATTCTTACCACTAACCCTCCCATCCCCTCTTGATCCTTGTAACATATTCTACACACTTAATAGTGGGAGCACCTCAAGGGACCTGTGTGTCCGTCAACATTGCAGGCCTGTGAGCTCAGATAACTATGTACATCACCGGTGTTTAACTTTTGACTACACTTTTTACTTGTTATTGAATTACAAAAAAAAATTATTTTTTTTTTCCTGTGGATCTGCGAATCTCACGCATGTATAAAAACTGCTTAAACAAATAACTCTGATTTACAAAAAAAAAAAATTGCAGAATTATAGAATTTGTTTTAAATGTTTTATGTGCTTACTTACCTGAAATACTTGCTTTTTAAAACAGTCTCTTTTTTTTTTCATTAGATTCAATGTCTTTCTTTAATGGCTGTAACAAATATATATAA